TTATACAAGGCGTTACAGAGACACCTTGACCCCTTGAAAGGTTGATGAAATCAAATCGATCTGATCTACCTTATATCTTTCCAAGATTCCAGCAATGTTGAGCCGCAAACTAAGAATAATTGAGATTCTAATTTTTTTTTCATTCATTATTCCAAATTTTTTGGGATTTTCTCTCCTCGTTTCTATAAAATAAAAATATGAATATTATTTCAATATACGTGTAGTAAGGACAAATCAGATGATTTGCCCCAAAATGTCACTGCGTTTAAAGAATTTTCCTATCAGAGAGCCTAAAAGAAAAATTCACTAGCTTGTCAGTGACAATTTGTATTGAAAAAATTTTTGGAGAAGGGAAATAAAGGTATATAGAAAAAATATCAAAGATAAGTGAAAATTTGATATTTTTTCTATATACCTTTATTTCCCTTCTCCAAAAATTTTTTCAATACAAATTGTCACTGACAAGCTAGTGAATTTTTCTTTTAGGCTCTCTGATAGGAAAATTCTTTAAACGCAGTGACATTTTGGGGCAAATCATCTGATTTGTCCTTACTACACGTATATTGAAATAATATTCATATTTTTATTTTATAGAAACGAGGAGAGAAAATCCCAAAAAATTTGGAATAATGAATATACCACCTCCTCGATTAACCTACAGACAGTATTTTTTTTCATTGTGTATTCCTCGAGAATAATATAGATATTATTGACTCGTTGTATAATCTACTATTATTCGAGGCATATACCTAGAGGTATACCTATACGTAAATGGATTTTGTCGTTTGACTCAAAGTTGACTTCTATTGTGATGGAAATTAGGATTAGTCACTAATGTATTCCAACAGGTAATATATTCTCATATAAACAGGGCTTCTACGACCAAAAACAGAAAGAAAAGTTCTAATCGAGGTTCTAATCAACGTGAGTCGAGAAATGTCTCTTAAGGGAGCTACGGCCCCCTGAAATGGGGCTCCTGAAGATTATATTTCTTCAATATTTCCGAAACGCCACGTGAGAAAATGATGCCATTTGGTACAAAAACAAAACTTCCCATGCTCAATGCGGTGAACATGAAATCATTCCAACGTTCCATTCAGGAGTGTATAATACAGGGTGGGACTACATTAAATATTGCTCAACCTTTTTTTGTATGTATATTTTTCGACAATTCAATCTCGGATTATGAAGATCCACACCGTTTCACAAAAAAAAGGTGCTCCTGTTCCACATCGATTAGATGTATCTTTTTCGAGTGAAATTGATATGAGAGTGTAGATACACACTTACATCTTATGCATAACATTGCCAATTTTCGAATCATAGTGGCTATAAAAAATTAACTACTTTCTTCTCACTAAACAATCTCATAAAAGCGCGAAAAATAGGAAAATGATGATGAAAAAAATACCTCGATTTTTGTGTTTTTTTTTCATTTCATCTTCAGGATCCCCCTTTCAGGGGACCGAAACTTTTTTCCTATTTTTGATCGTAGAAGCCGCTGGTGAAATTTGGCAGGCTAATTTCGTGACACCCTGTATAATTTCAACTTCGAGTAAATTATTTATTGAAATGATTCAGGTATACCGGGCGACAAATATAAGCAATGGCAGGGCAAGGGCAGTCCAAGAATGAAATTCTAGAAGGAGAAATGACATTTTGTGAAAATTTCAGGGGAATATGTAAATATGGTCGAAAACTGCGAAATTTTTACTTTGCTACAATTTGTTTTTCAAGGAGTAGGAGAGTAATGAGCAAAATGATGCGGCAGACAGTACTTTTATACATACATACATACATTTCATGGGATTCAATTCAATTTTTTGAAATTAGAAACGAGATCACCACTCTTGAAGCATTTCAAAATTATCATCATGGTGAGAGAGGGGTGGTAATTACCCTACTACCCCCTCTTCCCCCATTTAGATCGCAAAACTAACCAATCAGGCATCCACAAAAGGTACATGAACTAAAATAGAATTCATGATGATATTTTTGGAAATATTCCGTTCTCAACTCAACCATTTAGCGTTTGATGACATTATCTCTATGCTAAAAGCATTGTCAATATCAATAATTGTATGGTGTATAATAATTGTTACTTACACTCAAATAATACCGTCAAGCTTTCAATGTTTGAAATCTGATGAAAAATACGATAAAAGCATGGGTATTTCTGTAAACATATAATTTTAGCCGTTGTTGAATCAGATATAGGGGTATAAAGTCCAGTCAGAGCACCACTGTTATGGTTGATTTGGAATTTCCAATTATTTTTGTATGTTTCCAAATGTTATAATTTGTTATCATCTATTTTTTGATATTTTCGATAAGTACCTGGGAATCATTCGAAATTATTGCTTGTTTTAGTATTGAAATGTTTCCACATTTTTTCATACTATCAGAAGTTATTCATTATAATTTCTTTCTCTTCGTTATTGAAATTTATTTATTCGATTATTTTGTTTTTTTTTAGCAACGATAGGCATTCATATTTTTTTGGGTTGACTTTAGGCAAATCCATCAGTAAATGTAAAAAACTTCAAAGAAGATATTCTATATATTGGTCAAACAGGTAGAACGTTTAACCACGGCATTTACGATCATCATATGAGTTATGAAGTATATACAAATCAAATTCAACATTCGTTAAAATTGTTACGTGTTTTAAAATAATATTCAATCATTGATTCTAATAGTCGTTTTTGAAATTTTGACCCCATCAACAACCAATAGTCTAACCTGGATATTTTAGATTTGTCCTCGGATTTGTCCACATTCTCCAAGAGAGCTCGTTGAGTACTATGGTATTATGGAATTTTTATTCAAGAAAATCGCTTCACGGATTCAAAATTATAAGGGTGTTGCAAGTAGAAATCGCACACACTGTATATAAGTTAGGCAAATCAGTGTTAGGTTAGGTGTTAGTTTTCACTTGAAATACCACGAGAGCTTCAAAAGTTTCCGGTTTTTAATTGAAGCTAGAACTCGAAGTACTATTTAGTATCAAAGAAATTTGCACACGTAATATTATTAGGTTGACAAAAATATGATTAAACGACTTTAGTCAAATGAAATAATAAAAAATAAGTCGATCTCTAGCTCAGTTTTTTACAAATCCATTTAGCTAAAGTTGGTAGAAATATATTTTCTCACTTATCAACTCAAAGAATGAATTCGACGTAATCTGGAGTTGAATGTAAATGTTATTTCACCTATAAACGTTGAAAAAATTGCAAAAATTTGTTTAGTTGCTATGGTGACGATACAAAATACAGTCTTTCAAATGGTCGAAAATCTTGGGTGTGAAATATTCACTTGAAGAAGCTACTGCCTAAACGAAACATGTAGTGTTAAAGAAATTTGGTAGAAATCTTAAAGTTTATAAAGTTTTGCGCAGATCCATATTGAATCAAATGAAATAGGTATAATAAAAGTTCTGCGCATCTAACGAGGAAAAATAGACAGCTATATAGTAAACAGGGCTATCGCTTACGCAAACGTCCACCGCCAAATATAAACGCTCTGTATAATTCTGCCGTTGAGCAGTTGGCGATGACGTAGATCGAACTTATTAGGAAAGAAGAGGTTGTTCGCTCTGTATACGGGAAAATGAATGCGGAGGACGACATCTCACCGGCAGATAGGATGAGAAGCTGCGCGAACACTTCTAGACATTCCGATACGAGCTTAATATATTAATTAACGAACGATTATTGTGGTATTTGAATAAATTAGCTGTTTATTCAATTAGAGGATTGTGATTTTTTCGCATTCCATGATTTTCTCATCTCATATGCATATGAAATGGTCCAGTTTTCTAGAGAATCTGTTAAATTACCTACCCTTTTTGATAAGATTTTTTTGAATCGAATAAAATATGCAGTTCACATCATTTTCTATAAGACAGCCTGTATAGTTGTCCTCATATCTCATGAGATTAATGTGTTATGGACTCGATTTAAAAAACAATAGCGCAGTAATTTTTTGAAACGAATCTAATTTATTATATAGAATATAACACGTAAAATTTATTTCAATTTATACCATTTTGAAACAGGTCTGCGGACGGGCTAATGATAATATCTACCTACTGAACAACTCCCAGGAGGATGTTTGTTTGAGATAACGCTGAAATATGTCGATTTTTAATCTTTGGGGGACACATTCTTATCATTACCCCAACTCCCACATGTCATTCTCCTCTTAACCGGTAATATGATTGAAAGTGATCTTCTCCCAATTTCATCATCATCTTGTTTGACACTTCATAATTATGAAATCTAATTGTATTTATTATCCAATGCACCGAATATAATTATATAATAACACGATAAATAAATGTGAATAAATAAAGATTTCAGCTTGTAAACGTTGTAGTCAGGCAGTATTATCAAATTATTCAAGTTAATTTTAGATGGAAATTTGTTATTTTAAAAGATTCGTAATTGGGTTTTCTCAATTTAGAATTTTTTTTCCTCACCTTGTATGATGAATATGAGTTTGTCATACATCTAAACCAAACTATTAATTTCAGATGTCTAGGTAATAATATTTCTGCATTGCATTTTTTTATCTCTTGGAAGTCTTGAAGGATAGGGATGGGAGGTACCTATTGATTTTTTTTCGAAATTTTGGAGGTCAAGTTCTTGGGAATACTTCCATTGACGAATAATTGATGATATTATAAGCTTAAAAAAAGTACCAAACATCGGGCTATATCTACTTCCTTAACGTTTGTTTTTTTCCGCAAGAGGGCGCTAATTTCGAGAGAAACCTTACTTTCATCCGTAATACCGTTTTCTTCCACCTATTTAAATCGTGTTTACAGATGAAAATTCTTCCAGAAGTGATTCAGTTTGTTTCATCTTCATTGAGCCACCCTGTATGACTGTTCACACTTCATGATTTTTGTTTCCTATCTGGTGTTTTCCATTTTGTTGTTGTTCCAATTTTTGTGTTCACAACTGTGCTCATTGAGAGATTTCTTTTTTTTTCAGTCGAGCGATAAAGACGTAGAAGTTGCAGATCTATGGAAAAGACAAAAGAAAACGGTGCGTTCCCCCTCTCCTCACAACGCATTCAGAAGATGGCGGATCAAGACTAACCTCAAAGCTGCTGAGAAACATGGCATCAACGGATCCAAGATGACCATCAGCTCCAAAAGCGATGAGGAAATGTCCCTGCTCAAATTCCTGGCAATCGTAAGTGTAACATATTTTGAAAAGAAAAAAAAATCCGGTAGAAACATTTTTGGATATCAAAATATTGTTGAAACAAGCAACTACAGGAATTCATTCAAATGTATCAACTTAAGCTGTTAAAAATGGTTGCCATATCTCGATTTCAATTATGAGCTAACAAAAATGAGTTGCGTAGAATTACCCTACTTTTACTCAATCTTCATATCGCGTTCCAAAAAGCTTGCATAGCGTCAAAATAGGGTTGCTAGATGCCAGCGTGGATACCTAAATCAATTTCAATAACGTGGTGACGATAATGAGATGCGCGGAATTACCCTCCTCTTCTTAATCTTCATTTTACTTCGCAAAAAACTTGCACAGGATGTATGCAGGGTTGTTAGATGGCAGCGTGGATACTATATTATATCAATTCCAATCACGAGGTGACGGTAATGAGATGCGCGGAATTAGCCTCCTCTTCATAATCTTCACTTCACTTCGCAGAAAACTTGCACGGCATCTATGCAGGGTTGTTAGATGCCAGTGTGGATACCATATTATATCAATTTCAATCATGAGATGGCATGAACGAGATGCGTGGAATTACCCTCTTCCTTCTCTGGCACAGCATCTTTAAAGGTTGTAGTGCAGTGTCTTATGCATACTGCACTTCATTTATGTTGTCCACGTTGATATTCAGGCGAATCCTGTCGTATATTCATTTTCGTGAAAAACTATCTAATGGAGAAGAAACCTGTTTTTCCATTTCGATTTCATGTGATAAATATATTGATTGAATAAATTGAACAATTACATAATTATTCTTGTATTCTTTCTTGTATATGAAAGCGAATATCGATGTTTTGAATTCAATTATGATCAATTGTTTTCAAAGGCATCGACAGGTGACTGTTTAACAATTTGTTTTATGCTCTCCTGTATATTGTAATTGCTGTTTTTCTAGTTCAACAAAATATGCACACTAACTACGTCATACCATTGTTGAATGATTTGTTTGTTTCCTGTTCGAAAGTTTTTTTGAACTCACGTGAATCATGTTCCTCTATAACTAGCTCGTTTGTCGAAGTTTGCAATGATATTGTGAATCATTTACAATTTTTTCACCAATCCACTCAATCGTCTGACGTCATTAGAGAGCCGTTGACAAATCAATGTCAATTATTGGAATAAGTATACAAGATAGGTTTAGGAACAAAAAAACTTATATGTATTGGTATGCGCTAGTCTTGCAGGTTATTGAATTGAAATGCTTGATGGCTTGATTTATGTGTTGTGTCTGACATGTTTTAAACATGATTTCTATTTCTCCTTAAAACGTCTCAATTCCAACCGTTAGATCGATCATTAGTTATGAATAGTAGGTGTGAACGAGAAATAATGAATTATATCAAGTCAAGGACAATAATTATACTTACAATTTGCTGTGAAAGTATAGTGTTGAAGTGAATTTCATTGAATTGTTGCAGTTACAGTTTTTCAGAAACTATAGGGTCGTCAAAAGTTTCGTCATAAAAATTCGGTGATCCATAGAGAAATATAGTTTATATACCCAGCTTAAGAAGCGTTCGTTCAGGTACACTGAGCAAAATTCCTTCAAGATATCTTGGAAAGTATATTATACATTCTTCCATTTTGGATCATATCTTGATCTTTTCACTATCTTTGGTTAGTAATCATTATAATTGCAAAAACTTGCACACGACATCGATAAAATAAGATTTTACCCACCTAATTTCATTGCATATATTATTATTTCCTTTTGATAAATTTTCAACATCAATTCTCATGATATTTTGATGAAATAAAAAAACCTTCAAGTATACTATTTTATAAAAAATATTTCTGAAATACTTCCCAAGATATCTTGAAAAAATTATGTCGCTCTTATTATAATGTCCTTAATATACAGGGTGGTCCGTTTTTTAATACGGAAAATTTAACAGCGTATAGTACTCGTTGAAATAATAAATAAACTTCCTATGAACATATACTTTTAAACGCTTCGTTTTCGGGATATAGGGTGTTCAAGTCCATAAGACTTTATGTAAAAAGTCGTTATTGTTGTCAACTTTATTTAAGATAAATTCCGAAAAAGACACTCTCTCCAGTTTGTTATTTCTTTGACAGAACTTTCAGAGTGACAGCACATATAAACAGTGAACAGTGAGCAACTGAGCATAGCCTACTTCTTTAATTGATATCGAGTAGTATCATTTAACTAAAAAATGTTATAAAATCTTATAAGCGAGCTTTTTTCATTGAAACTTGAAAAATAAATGAAAAATAATTACCCGAAAAATTTGTGCAATTATTACCTTCGCCACCCCAGATTCAGCCGCCACTGAATAGTTTTTATGAATAATTTTTATTTAATCTAATAAAGCTCAAAAAGTTTAGTATCTGTGAAAAAATTTGTTAAGTTGTCTACCGTTTCTAACTTTTGATTGAAAAACTATATTCAGAAGCGTATTTTTGACACCCAATACCTATCTCAAAAACGAAGCGTTTAAAAGTATATGTTCATAGGAAGTTTTTTTATTATTTCAACGAGTACTATATGTTGTTAAATTTTCGGTATTAAAAAACGGACCACCCTGTATATTGAAGATCTATTGCTTTCTTCATATCTCCTGAACAAAATTTGATCACCATGTATGGTGAGTGAGAAAATTTATTCAGAAAATATAGGTCTTGAATGAATCAAATCTATTGTGATCTACTTACGATATTCCCAGTAACCTTTGTATATTATTAGAATGTAGACCATCTCAGTCGCTGAATTTGAATGCAAAGTGACCCCTAATAATATTTTTCGTCACTAATTAATTGCATGGTCAAGAAGTCTGATTTATCAATCACGAATGATGCACGGTGTGAAACCGTGAAAATGATCATTTCTCAAAAAAATGGGGCTCCGGCGCTAATCAAATTTATTTGTTTGGGTTTGTAGATGGCTGATCAGTGATCTCTCAGTACAATTCCTAACGTTGAACGACAGTGGTCATCGGTCGGGAAATATTATAAAGTGACATCATTATTTTTCTCAGTTTTTTTTCTCTTTCCGGTGAATCGTGAAGTTTGTAGTCCTCGTGTCAAGGCTAATTGTGATTTTTATAAGTGATACATACATTAGCAACTACAATAATGCACCTGAAAAATGTATTCAACTGTTATCGTACGCGATACGAAAGCAGTGACATTCACAGTGGCTGTAGAATTCAAAACGTTGCAAAAATTATACAGAGTATCTATACGAATTCGTGTATTTATAGAAAAACGGTATGTACAAAAGTATTAGATGAATATTTTACTTATCACATAGTTTCAGACATTTTTTTGTTGTTGTAATTAGTAATTCAAAGTAGTGAACATTACCAGCTGGCAAAAACGATTTGGAATAGGAATCAACTTGTTGACTTGACTATTACTATATGAAAATTAGTGAAAATTTCATCAGATTAGATCAATTAGATCAATTATTACAAAAAGCCGGTAATGTTGAATGTAATTTGAGAGAATCTTATTTATTTGTGGTACCTATTCTATATTTTTTCATGCTCAACTTGTGATCTAATATCAGTAATTCATCTCCATAGAGAAAAATTTCAAATTGTTGTATAATATTCTTCATAACTAGGCTTAAAAATATGATGTCCTATATGGGGTGACTCTGACCATATATGAAAATTATTGAAAATTTCATCAGATCATCAAGGTCAATTATTGCAGAAAGCCGGTAATGTCGTTGAATGTGAGTTGAAAGAATCCTATCTATTTGTGGTACATATTCTGTATGTTTTCATGCTCAACTTGTGATCTAAAATTAGTAATTTATCTCCATCGAGACAAAATTAAAATTGTTGCATAAGATTCTTCATAGCTAGGCCTAAAAATATGATGTCCCATATGGGGATTTGGTGGCCACTTTTTTAATGGTGAGTTCCAAACCATATACTATAGCCAGAAACAATGTTCCTCTGTGCAATTTGATATCAAAGATGAAGTGATTCGGAGTGCATATGAAAGCAAGTTCTTAGGTATGGGCATCGATGGATACCTGAATTGGAAAAACACTGCTCTGACTTGATAGGTAAAATGAACTCATGAACACGTAGTGTAAAAGTGATAGCTGGAGTTCCTAGACATTTTTCCTGTGGAAACTAATTCAAAGATTTCAAAATTCTGACACTATTCTCAATGGATATATTCGAAATGTCAGTTTATATTTTCAAAAATAAACAAAGATTCATCAGCAATGAGGAAATTCACTAAATGAACACTCGTCAAAATATAAAATCTCAAAAGAAGAAATTGCCGAAGAATATTAAACTGAAAACAAATTTTAATGAATCTTCGCGATTGCAGAAAATATATTTATTGGATAAATGTTACTACAACCTTGATGAATTCTTCAACTCATAGATATATAATTCTTTTTTCTCCTTCATTCTCTGTATATTTTAATCTGTTATATATATTTTTGTTCGTTTTGTTTTTTTTTTCAGTATGTATGTAAAATTGTGATGATTTCCATACATATATGTATGTCCAAAGAAAAATTAATGAATTGTTTTGAAAGGTCGGTTGAATGGGGAAAAAATCGATTATTTCGGTTTTTTTGGTTATCATTCATTTATTTTCGGAAATACCGGCCCTCATATTTTCGATGAGTTTTCACCGCTAGGTGATGCTTCCTGATACGCAACTTTTTCTCCATTTAAAATACTTTCTGATTAGTATTCATTCAAAAATTTGCCACCCCGTATGAACTATAAAAACAGTATAACGAGATGATTTTTTGTTATTGTAGACCGCAAGTCTCTCAATTTTTCAAATTATGCTCATATTATATAATTTAACGATCATAAGCGCTTGTTTCAATTCCTGCAATTTTAATTATTATTACATGAAATTATATACTTTTTTATTTATATTTTGATAGATGGTACGACTATGTAACCTATCATGTGATCTTCATGGCACATCAATTATTCACGCTAATTTACCATTTGATTGCTTTTATGGAATTTATGATATTGACACTTCAATAAAAGTTGGAAACAAAAGCTGCATGATTTGGGAAAAATTCGAATGGATCATACTACGTCAAGGCGCCATTTTATAATGATTGACCTTCCTCAAATTGCTGCATCTTTTTATTGAGAAACATTTGATTTATTGTTATCAACTGCTAAGTGCATGAGTATTGCTTCATATTGAAAAAAATACAATTAAATTATTGATTGAAGTTATAATTGTGTTTGAATAGCACTTATTTCCTGCTTTTTAATTTTTCTCTCGCGATTTTGTCATGTCAATTTTTCTCGTAAAATTACTGATTGGCGGATGTAGTTTGTCAGGAAGATTAAATCCGAAGCATCTTGTCTTTTGCTTTTGAAAAAAATATAAATATTCAATTGTATATGAAAGTTGTATCAAGAGATTTTCGCTACTCTCCTTGATTCGAAATTTTTTATGTCACAATAACAATAAAATTCAAATACCATTCGAAATGTATTTATCAATTACTCTAATGTATCTTAGGGCGGTCAATACACAACTAATAGAAATAGAAACGACTTTGTGATAAGAAAACGATATACAGTTGTCAAAGTATAGAAGTGTATTGAAAAGGGATGTTATGAACAAGAAAAACAATGGATACATTCAAGGAAATACATTGAGAATTCGCAATGTGATGGTAAATTCAAAAGAAAACATCTACTTTCCTGGCTATATGCCACGACGAAACTCATTTCGTAAAATTGATTTAAACTGAGCGTGCCGAAATATCATGCAATTTATAAGTGTATGTGAGTAACTAAAGATTAATGATAATATAGGTAATAATAATGCAGACACACTTTTCTTCGGAAATAGTCTGTTTTTCGTTCGGAAATCAGAACGTAAAATGTGATTTTTCGTAGAGGTCGACGAAATAGTATATTATACACCTAGGGTGAGAAGTGAGCTCAGCTCATGTATCATTTGTGTTTTGACATTTTTAGAATCAATGATAATCAGATTATTCCAAAAATGTTTCATACTTCAAAATTTGCTTTCAGCTGTAATGAGATTTGTAGTTTCAACTATATTTGGTTTTGAGAATGAATCATTTTTTGCCTACGCATCGGTATCTATGTGTGTATATTTCATAATATCATTGACAGTTTTTTTCCACCTAGGTAAAATCTCTTTATCATTTCATCATTATTTACCTACGTTTAAAAAGTGTTACTTCTCATCAGAGAAAATCCTTGACCAATGGTGATTTCTCAGGTTAATGGTGAAAAAAAATATTGTCATCGGCGTTGTAGAGAACGTATAGTGATTCACTCGTCAAATATATTTTAAAAAAAGGTTACTTTCGTCACTCGTAAAACAATATACTATTTTTTTTTCCAGAACGCTCTTGATCTCAGTGCCCCAGCTAGCGACGTCCTTCTGAAGTCCCGCATCGGCAGCTGGTTCCAGTTGAGCGGCCACCCGGACAGTTTGGCTCCCGCCGGCCCTGGCACCGTGTGGAAGAAACGGTCCCCGAATTCGGACGACACCGAACGAATCGTGTACGAGGAGGTGTCGCGAGATCCCGAGCTGTGCGACATCATACCGAAGTACTACAGAGAGGTGGAGTACCAGGGCGAGAAGTTCATCGAGCTACAAGACTTATTGCACGGATTTAAGGTGAATATTAGCTCTTGGGTACTGTCAAAATACTCGATACGAACGTTTCTGGAAGTTCTTGGGAGTCTTTGAGAGTTATTGGACATTTTTGAGAGTCATTCATAGTCTTTTAGAGTCATTGGAAGTTGCTGGATGTCTTCAAAGGTCCCTGAAAGTGGTCAGTAGTGGTTTAGAAGTGTTCAGAAGCTATGTAAGTCATTGTCGTTAGATAACTATTAGATAACGATTATAGTGGACCAGAAGTAAAAGAGAGTCATTAGAACTCATTGAGATCCATTAAGAGTCCTTGAAAGACAGTGATTTTTCGCATGGCATCTCAGAACTTTTTGAATGATTTCGAAGGAGAATGAGAAAAGAGAGTAATTTTGAGTTGCTGAATGTCTACAAATGTCTCTGAGAGTGGTCTAGAAGTTTTTGAAAGTTATGTAAGTGTCATTACAAACATATCACTATAGTATTGTAATGAACATCTCTAGATGCATAGATTAACGAATCTATGCTAGATGTCTTTCGAAATTTATAGAATTCATTTGAAAACTTTATTGGATAGAAGGTATCTGAAAGTCTTCGACAGTCGGTGGATATCTTCAGGGATTTTTGAGATCCATCAGGAGGAATTCAGGATTCAGTGGAATTATCTTTTTTTTTTTTCATCTTCTGGGGCGCACGAGAGGAAACCCCTATAATGTTCGCAAAACATCGTGCGACCTAGGGAGGATAAGGAGAGGAGGTAGGTATTGGATTTTTTTCCACTTGCAAACTTCTGGAGATTGTAAGTTCTTCGAAATCCTAATTGGAAGTTTTCAGGAGGCTATTCGGAGCTTTTGAGATTTGGAGAGTCTTTGGAAGTCATTGTAAATTTTTGATAGTCATTGTTGAGTATTTGAAGTATTTGGGAGTGTTCAAGGGTCACTGAAAGTCATCGAGAATAACTGGAATTTTCTGAATGTCTTCGGAGGTCACTGTCACTGTCTGTTTGAAATTTTTGAGTATTTGAGAGCCTCTAAAAGACACTGAAAGTCTTTTGAGAGTCATAAGAAAACACTCTAAAAGTCTTCAAGATTCATTGAATGTCAATGAAACTGACTCGTTGTAAGTTTCTGGGTATTTCTAAAGAGAGTCATTGAAAGTCGCTGGAAGTCTTCGGAGGTCACCGGAAGTTCGGGAATATGTTCAGGAGCCATTGTAAACCATTTCTTTTCTTCGGGAGTCTTTGGATATCTTCGTCTCTGACGCCCAATTTATTTCCCCTTCCAGGACCCGTTCGTCATCGACATCAAAATGGGCACGTGTTTGTTATTAAAGCCATCATTCGCGATTCCATTCATTAATCCTTGTTTGACGTTTGGGATTGTTGGCGTGTACTTTTCAATGATTCCTGACGTCCAATTTCCCTTGCAGGACCCATTCGTGATCGACATCAAAATGGGCACTCGTACCTTCCTCGAATCCGAAGTGAAGAAATCCTGCGCCAGACGGGACTTGTACCAGAAGATGATCGCCATTGATCCACGATCACCCACCGAAGAGGAGCACCGCTGCCAGGCGGTTACTAAGTTGAGGTATATGCAATTCCGAGAACGGCAATCTTCTTCTTGCCGATTGGGGTTCAGGATCGAGGCGATGAAGCGCAGAGGATCGGCGCCCGTCACCGATTTGAAGACTGTGAAGGATAGCGAGGAGGTTTCCGAGACTCTCGATAGGTGAGTTTTCTTCTTTTATATATTTATATCATTTGGAGAAAAAAGTATATGTTTCACACGGCAGCAAATGTAGATTGACTGCCTTGACTGAATTCCTAGCCTCGCTACGCTCGGCTATGAACTATCAGCCGCGGTAGTCAATCTACCACTTTTCTGTCTAGTAAAACAAATAACTATTTGTCTCCAAATGTTATAAAGCCAATTTTGTGTAATTTTTTCATTGTGTTCACCGAATGTCAGTGTCAATATTGAAACAATTATTTCATTCAAATTCCTTGGAACGTGTTGCATAAGCAACAAACTTTTCTTGCTAGGCAGAGTACCTTTTCTGCCTGTTAAGTGTAATGAAAAACTACTTTCTCTGCCGCTTTGCGAAAAATAGTTATTCGTTTTACTAGGCAGGAAAGTAGTAGATTGACTGCCGTGGCTGATAGTTCATAGCCGAGCGTAGTCATTTACGTGTTTCGTCCCTGTCTCTCGCTTCAGATTCAGGTAACCTGTTATGAATTTGAAGTGAAATATCTAATTACTGCAAATCTAAAAGTTACATGCTACATTCAATTTGTCTGATGTATTTTTTTCTTGAATATCTGAAATCTTATTTCTGGGTATGGTGTCAAATATACAATCGACTCCGTGCGGTTTCAGCCAGGAATTTCGGAAAATTGAAAGCAGTCGTTAATTGTTTTACTAGATAATTTGACCACAGAATAAAGCGCTTAAAGAATGTAACATTTATTTCCTCCTAACTTCACAAGTAACTCTCGTTCATAACTCGAAAACAGAAGACGAAGCAGATTTTGTTTCGGGCATTAATTGATGTATCTAATTTGCCCACCCACCAACAACCATATCCCTTATAAGCCGATATGATGGTGGTTCGTGCATCCCTATATCGTGACATGGTAGAAACACCTACAAATAAGATCTACCCTATATGAGCTACCTCCAAATATGATCCAGTGGTATTTTCTCTCAGGAAGACCAAGATCGCGACAATATTCAGAAAACAAGTTTCTGGCAGACTTACAGAGAACCCTCACATTAAATGCTTATACAACATGCCATTGGATTATGCACGTTTTTCATACGATTTCCTTGCTCAATATTCATAGTTCAATGTCAACGGATGATTTGATCACCTTAATGTTCATAAAGCCCTCATGGTTCGAACATACTAATGTAGCATATGTTCTACTCCTGACAAATTTTAATTACATACTTGGAAGATTCAAAGTTACAACTTTTGCACTGTTGGCTGTATCAACTTTAGTGTTTGATAGTTCACTGACATTATTATCACGAGCGCCAAATCTAGTCACATAATGACATGGAAAACGTCCTTATTGTCTTGATATTCGACAGCATCAGGCTACATTGTCAATTGAATGTAGAAAAAATGCATTTCTCTTAATGTTGCAGGTTTCTCGGCGGCAGAGAGGACGTGAAACGCCGCCTCCTGACCAGACTGTGCGACGTCCGCTCCAAAATCGAAAACTCCGAATACTTCAAGCGTCGCGAGATCGTCGGCAGCAGCTTATTTATCGTGTACGACGACCACAAAGTTGGGGCGTGGCTGATCGACTTTGCCAAGACGAACAAGCTGGCCGAGGGCCAAAGGGTCGATCACAGGACAGCTTGGGTGCAGGGGAACCACGAAGAAGGGTTGCTGTTCGGGTTCGACAGACTGATTTCGGTGAGTTTGGTTTTTCCATTGTGTTTCTAGCTCGTTTTCGACGAAATTTGTGCTTACTTTTATTTTTTCGGGGTAATTGTTGGAGAACGTGTGTGATATTTGTTTCAAATTATCTATTGATTCCTTCTAAATCTGTTCACAATGGCGACAAACTACGTGAAAGTTATATTTTTTTAATACCCCACTCATGAATGCGACAGCCTTTTCCATAGAGAGGAATTACGAACGCCAAATTTGATACACTCCCCTCGTAAGGGTACCTAACGTGATTCCATATACTCATATAATATGAATGTCGACAAATGTTTTGACTGTTTGATCAAATGAAACATTCAGTAAATCGATAAAAGTCCTTGGAAAAAAGGAAGGAAGAAAGAAATATGACAGATAAAAAGAAATATAGAAAGAAATTAGCGTCACGAGATCGTCGGGAGCAGCAATTTTTATTGTGTACGACGACCACAAAGTGGTAGTAGTAGATTCCCTCCGAAGTTATTCAAAATGGCAACAAACTACGTGAAAGTTATAATTTTTGTATACCTAACTCGTGAGTTAATACACTCCCCTCGTGACGTGATACCATATACTCATATAATATGAATGTCGACAAATTTTTCGACTGTTTGATTAAATGAATCATTCTGTTAATCGATAAAAGTCGTTGGAAGAAAGAATGTTATTCCTTACTGGAAGCTATTTTCTCAATAAACAATAATATACAGTTTCAACTATGAATTTGGCGCTGATCCAGAGTTGCAAATGCATAATTGACTAATTCCCTGTTGCAACTGAAAGTGATTGTCTAATTCACAGTTGCAACTGTTGATTGGGGGCTGATTTACATTTATGATAGTTAATGTGTGGCGAATTCAAATACAGAAATGCTCAAAAAAAGATGCTTCAGAGTTACAAAACGCTACTTGAACTAGAACACAATTATAACTGTTTTGAATGGGTGACTAGTTTACAATTGCAAATGGAGTTCATGGTTGCAACTGGCCGAATTGCAGTAACTATAAATTATAAATTCGGCTTCTAATTCAGAGTTGCACGTGCAAAATTTACCTATTCACAATTATTACTATTGATTGCTGCCTCATTTATACAGAGAAGTGCACAAAAAACGGCCAGTGCTGTATCGTCTGTACAATTCCAAATCGGATTTAGAAAATTGGTGGGCAGCAAGTATACCAAATTGTTCATTAATTGACAAATCAGTTTTTGTTCTATCACTTCCGGTCTCACCAGAAACAACCCTAACTTCTGATTTTTCAATGGGACACCCTGTATTTCATGCCATAATCGGTTAGAGATTACTATGACAAATTCAACGATACCGGGTCTGATAGGGTTAATTCAAACAACTACGAAGATATTCGCGATCTAAGTTTCCATTTGGTCAATGAGTGGAATAGAGAAAGAAGTTCCGATATTACAAAGTCACACCCATTGAGCATATGGAAAATTAGAACGCGAATATCTGTAATCGTTTGAAATATTTCTATCAAATCTGGTATCGTTGAATTCGTTATGATAATCCCTAACCGATTATGGAATGAAATACAGGGTGTTCTATTTAAAAATCAAAAGTTAGGATCGTTTCCGGTGAAACCGGAAGTGATAGAACAAAAATTGGTTTGTCAATTAATGAGCAATTTGGTATACTTGCTACCCACCAATTTTCAAAATCCGATCTCAAATGATTCATAAATTACAGCACTGGCCGTTTATTGTGCACTTCTCTGTATATGCAACTGTCATTTAGGAGAGAAAAAAAACTGTCCGAAAACAACAGTTTAGACGTAACAAACCCCATGATGGATGAAAACAATATGTCTACTGTATTCTGAAAGACAATTGACATCAAAATCTTGCAAAGAAATACAGAAAATTCGAATTCTCTAAGTGAAATCATCTCAATAAGGGTGAAAATCTCCGAAATTTTCACATTCTGAGAATTTCTTCCTCTATCACTAGTAGACGCTGTTGCAAAAATATCATTCACGTATAAACATTGGCTTGGGTTTTCATTGTGTCTGGTATCGCATCAAACTTGGATCTCAGGATCCCTGTCTGAATTGGTCTACAGGCAGTTAGGCGATGCCTGACTCAATTTAAGCGCGCAGTTTTTGATTTTCGTGCGTTTTTTTGTGTGTTGCTGTGGAAACTCGATATTTATTTTTTGTTTTTTGTTTCAGATGATCGAGAATATCAAGAATCCGCCCTTGGACGCTAGCAAAGAGCACTTCAGACAGTCGGTGCCCGCTGTCAGCGTCAAGTCTTGAACAACTGACAATCGAAGAGCTGAGCCCCTGCGGTAGGGGGTTTCCTTGCCTCTTTTGGAACTTGGCAGCAGCCGGAGGCGCAGACCGAAGGTGTTTTTTCGGCGGCGGCGCCGTGTATATGTTTGTCGATTTTTGTAGCCTGAGCGGCGATTTGTGTTTATTGTTTTTCGAAAAGGTGCTTCTCCAGGAAAAAACAAAGTTCTCTAACGATAGATGTCTCAAAAAGTTGAGCATCTTTTGACATATCATTGAAATTTGTATTTCTCAACCATTCGCCCCAACATAGCAGCACTGAGCATTATGAAATTGAATGGCCTATACCTTATTGTGATACCTCATTGGATAAATAATTTCTTCGGGAATTCAGCTATGCAATTATCAGGTTTTTTCATTTAATAATCTTGTGATAGAGGCTAATCACATGAGATAATGAATGATGTCTTTATTGTTGGCTCATTTTTTGAGATATTCAAGGTTGATCAATCTCAAAATGCCACTATGTATATTTTTTCGATGTTTGCATTGGATGATATGTGTGGATTTGTTTTTTTTTGTGGAGGAATGGCCTAATGACAAAGTATTAAGAAATACGTGAGGAATACTGAATTCTGTCATTGCAACTTATACTCATCTAGTCAATGTACTTTAATTTCTTACTGTGTAGGTATTTATCCTGTCAAATTGTCAAGCAGATTTGCTTGAAAAGATTGTATACTATTGTAAATTTTCAGATTTTTTATAATTAAATTGTGAATTTGCATGTTTATATACTTATTTATAATAATAAAATAATAATTGTGAATCATATCTCTTTGTATTATTGAAAGCCCTTGCCTACATTAGTATAAACTCTGTTTTGCATTTATTACAGAGATGTGTTGTGCTTAAAAAATTCTGTCCTCAAAGGGGTCAGAAATCGCACTAGGGCATCCTTAAAGGGTGCTAAATATCGAATTTGAAGGCACTATGACAAAGTTGATTTTTGGATCTTTTTTTATATCGCTTGGAGTGCACGAAAGGGAATCCCTATAATGTTCAAAGAACATCGTGCGTTCCTAGGGAGGATATAGGGACAGGAGGTAGGTATTGGATTTTTTTTTAATTTTTGGAGATTATATGTTGTTGGGAATACTTCCACAGGCAATGAATTCCAGAGCCAAGCCGTTCGATGGATGAAGGAGTCTTGATAAAGTGCTGTTCGACATCTTTCGAGGTTGACAACGAAAGAATGTGCTGACTGGACTTGTCTAGTTCGTCTGACTGGTATTGCTAGTGAAGGGATGATAGCAGAGATTTCCGAAGAACATTTCCCGTGGAAGTATATCGGTAGAAAAGTGAAAGGTCGCCGACCTTTCTACGGTGTTCCAATGATGTCAAAGAGTGAGTGAGTGTGGCGTCACCCACCAGGCGGATGTCTCTTCTCTGGATGGAATCTAAGAGCATCAGCGTAACTTTTTCAGATTTTCAACAGGCCTCCGAATGAGCTGAAAACTTGTGTACAGGATGTTTTTAAAAACGATAATGTTCAGAATCCTTGAAATCGTCTCAATACACTCGAATTCATCTGCAAAACACTTCCATCAAATTGATTTTGCATTAATTTCAGATATGATGTTGAGTGCATGAAAAAATTAGCCACAAAGGGATACAAATATCATTTATTTTCAAAGACTGCTGATGCTATTAGAGGGTATTCCTAAAGGGTCCTACATACCATCAAATTTGAAGGCACAATGACAAAGTTGATTTTTGTGTCTGGAAAAGAAACAAGGTTTGAACTTATTTCGAGGCTTCAGAATTGCCAGAATGAGCTGAAAAATCGTATAGAAGATGTTTTCGACGTGCTGAACACCAAAATGGAGTCGATTTTTCCATAACTCCATTAGTTTCCAGATACAAACATATACATAAATGTTCAAGATGGCAGAAATCGCCTCAACACACTCGAATTCGTCTGCAAAACATTTCCATCAACTCGATTTTGCATTCATGATTTCAGAGATGTAGAGTGCATACACAATTCAGCCCGAAAGGGGGTCAAAAATCCACCTTTTTCTGAATTAGGGGCTAGAGGGCTGTGCTTCTACTCCGCATTAGTTCATCCCTGAAGGGTCCTGAATACCGAATTTGAAGGCCCTACGACAAAGTTGATTTTTGGGTCTGAAAATGAAACAAGGTTAACCCCTTTGAACTTTTTGCAGATATTTCAAGGCCTCAGAATGAGCTGAAAACTTGTATACAGAATGTTCTCGACGTGCTGAACACTAAAATGAAGTCGATTTTTCCATAACTTCATTATTTTTCCAGATACGAGCATATTTTGAGAAAACAAAAATGTTCAAAATGGCAGAAATCGTCTCTCGAATTCGTCTGCAAAACATTTACATCAACTAGATTTTGCATTCAATTCAGAGATGTAGAGTGCATAAAAAAATTCAGCCCGAAAGGACGTCAGAAGTCGATTTTTTTCTAAATTAAGGACTAGAGGGCTGTGCTTCTACTCCGCACTAGGGCATCCCTAAAGGGTCCTGAATACCGAATTTGAAGGCCCTACGACAAAGTTGATTTTTGGGTCTGAAAAAGAAACAAGGTTAACCCCTTTGAACTTTTTTCAGATATTTCAAGGCCTCAGAATGAGCTGAAAACTTGTATACAGAATGTTCTCGACGTGCTGAACACTAAAATGAAGTTGATTTTTTCATAACTTCATTAGTTTTCCAGATATGAACATTTTTTGAAAAACGAAAATATCGTTCAAAGTCGCAAGAATCGTCTCAACACACTCGAATTCTTCTTCTAAACTCTTCCATCAACTCAATTTTGCATTCACTTTAGAGATGTAGAGTGCATAAAAAATTCAGCCCGAAAGGGGGTCAAAAATTGTTTTTTTTTCTGAATCAAGGGCTAGAGGGCTGTGCTTCTACTCCGCACTAGGGCATCCCTAAAGGGTCCTAAATATCGAATTTGAAGGCCCTACGACAAAGTTGATTTTTGGGTCTGAAAAAGAAACAAGGTTAACCCCTTTGAACTTTTTTCAGATATTTCAAGGCCTCAGAATGAGCTGAAAACTTGTATACAGAATGTTCTCAACGTGCTGAACACGAAAATGAAGTCGATTTTTTCATAACTTCATTATCTCCAGATACGAGCATATTTTTAAAGAACAAAAATGTTCAAAATGGCAGAAATCGTCTCTCGAATTCGTCTGCAAAACATTTACATCAACTAGATTTTGCATTCAATTCAGAGATGTAGAGTGCATAAAAAATTCAGCCTGAAAGGACGTCAGAAGTCGATTTTTTTCTAAATTAAGGACTAGAGGGCTGTGCTTCTACTCCGCACTAGGGCATCCCTAAAGGGTCCTGAATACCGAATTTGAAGGCCCTACGACAAAGTTGATTTTTGGGTCTGAAAAAGAAACAAGGTTAACCCCTTTGAACTTTTTTCAGATATTTCAACGCCTCAGAATGAGCTAAAAACTTGTATACAGAATGTTCTCGACGTGCTGAACACTAAAATGAAGTTGATTTTTTCATAACTTCATTAGTTTTCCAGATATGAACATTTTTTGAAAAACAAAAATATCGTTCAATGTCGCAGGAATCGTCTCAACACACTCGAATTCTTCTTCTGAACACTTCCATCAACTCAATTTTGCATTCACTTTAGAGATGTAGAGTGCACAAAAAATTCAGCCCGAAAGAGCGTCAAAAGTCGTTTTTTTTTAAATTAAGGACTAGAGGGCTGTGCTTCTACTCCGCACTAGGGCATCCCTAAAGGGTCCTAAATATCGAATTTGAAGGCCCTACGACAAAGTTGATATTTGGGTCTGAAAAAGAAACAAGGTTAACCCCTTTGAACTTTTTTCAGATATTTCAAGGCCTCAGAATGAGCTGAAAACTTGTATACAGAATGTTCTCGACGTGCTGAACACTAAAATGAAGTCGATTTTTCCATAACTTCATTATTTTTCCAGATACGAGCATATTTTGAGAAAACAAAAATGTTCAGAATGGCAGAAATCGTCTCTCGAATTCGTCTGCAAAACATTTACATCAACTAGATTTTGCATTCAATTCAGAGATGTAGAGTGCATAAAAAATTCAGCCCGAAAGGGGGTCAAAAATTGTTTTTTTTTTCTGAATCGAGGGCTAGAGGGCTGTGCTTCTACTCCGCACTAGGGCATCTCTAAAGGGTCCTAAATATCGAATTTGAAGGCCCTACGACAAAGTTGATTTTTGGGTCTGAAAAAGATACAATAAAGGTTAACCCCTTTGAACTTTTTTCAGATATTTCAAGGCCTCAGAATGAGCTGAAAACTTGAATACAGAATGTTCTCGACGTGCTGAACACGAAAATGAAGTCGATATTTCCATAATTATTTTTCCAGATACAAGCATATTTTGGAAAACAAAAATGTTCAATATGGCAGAAATCGTCTCAACACACTCGAATTCGTCTGCAAAACATTTCCATCAATTCGATTCTGCATTCATTTCAGCCTGAAAGGGGTCTAGAATCGTTTTTTTTTCTGAATCAAGGGCTAGTGGGCTGTGCTTCTACTCCACACTAGAGCATCCGTAAAGGGTCCTAAATATCGAATTTGAAGGCACTACGACAAAGTTGATTTTTGTGTCTGGATAAGAAACAATTAAGGTTAACCCTTTGAACATTTTTCACATATTTTGAGGCCTCAGATGAGCTGAAAAATCGTATACCAGATGTTGTAGACGTGCTGAACACGAAAATGAAGTCGATTGTTCCATATCTTCATTAGTTTTCCAGATATATATAAGCATTTTTTGAAAAACAAAGTTCAAAATCACAGAAATTGTCTCAACACACTCTGCAAAACACTTCTATTAACTCGTTTTTGCATTCATTTCAAAGATGTAGACTGCAAAAAAAATTCGATTCATTTATAAATTAAGGTCTAGAGTGCTGTGCTTCTACTCCGCACTAGGGCATCCCTAAAGACTGAATTTGAAGGCCCTAGGACAATAGTTATTTATTTTACTAGGCAAAAAAGCACAAGATTTAATGCCGCGGCTGGCGTTTCATAGCCAAGGCGTAGCCGATGCTAGGGTGCCGGCCAAGGCATTAAATCTGCTTTTTTGCCGTGTGAAACATATAATTTTTTCTCCAAATTCGTCTAATTTCGCGCAAACTCCAAATAATCCATCATTTTGTGTTCACCCAACGTCAGTGTCAATTTTGATTACCAATTTGATTCGAATTATTTCTTGAACCGTCGCATAGCAACAAACTTTTTCTGCATATGCAGTAAAAGTACCGTTTTTCTGCCTGTTAAGTGTCATTGAAAAGCCACTTTTGATGTTATTTGGAGAAAAAGTTGATTTTTGAGTCTGAATAAGACATTTTTTTAGATTTTTGACATGCCACAGAATGAGCTGAAAACTTGTATCGATTTTCTCGTATAGTTTATGCAGTCAGTTGAACAGATCATCAACTCCAATGGTTATCAAGATATACATAAATGATTTTGTGAATACAAAAATGAGGAATATATCATCTGAGCGGCCTGAAAACTTGCTAAAAGAGTGATCTCCATGTACTCAACAAGAATTTACATTCAGTTTGGCATTTGAATACAATTTCCCACAAGATTATTTGAAGTAAAGACAGGGTCAAACAATTTTTTGTCTGCCATTTTCATAAATGTTTACAAATTCATTGTACAAATAAAACCAGCACAGATAATACGAAAAACGAAATTTTTATCTTCACTTAATACAATAAGTTTTATACAATAATTTACATTAAAAAATAGTCTCAATACATACAATAATAATAAAAAAAACAAGCAATCAAATAAATATCACTTTAGCCCGAATCGAACTAGATCATCCATCCGTCACGCGAAAACCTTCCCTTCCACGTGCCGCCTCAACAACACAATACTATTGTACAATTTCACCGCCGGCCCCACTTTCAGCCTCAACAAGGATAAAATGTCCTTCTGGCTCAGAGACAGAAACGCCTCCCCGTCGATTTTCTCTTTCCGGAACACGTCGCCGTCTTTCCCGCAACACGGCAACCGAGACACGAAATTCACCACCTCCCGATTCGACCAATACCTACAACAAAACGAATAAACAAATGAGATTTCAAATGTGAAAATATATCCGATATAACACATGTTCCTTGCACCTTGTACCAATTATTTTACGTGTTTGCCCAATCTAGTGCCAAACTCTGTTTTCTGTGTAATGAGGGTCTAAAGTAGATTGTTGATACAAAGTTCAGTAGATTTTGTTCAATAACAGAAATACTGGAATGTGCCAGAATAGGATGATTTTTGTGTGTGGCACAGATCTACTGAACTGATGAAACAACTGAACTGAACACTAGTTTCTGTGAAACACTTAATGTGTCAGACTTCTGTGAAATGTATACAGTGTAGGATGATATAATTTAAATTCAAATTTGCCGCCACATGTGTATGGGTTTAGTTTGGAAACACTGAATATTGTGTCAATGAAAGGACTGTCATTATTGTCAAGTGTCATATAGGAGACACTTGTTCACTACGACCTCACTTGTTGCATGATAGTGGATGTAGAAGGTTGTGACAAAATGGAGAATAAATAATGATGTTAGTGTGATCGATATTTGATTTTTGAATCTACATCCTTCCTGAAAAGAGGGCCATCCAACAACAGGGCTTTTCTCTAATGCCCCCCCCCTCTATTTATTTTTTGAACGAGTCAATTCAAAAATACTATACTATATTTTGAAATAAAATTGACAGACGAAAATATCAAGATGGCGACTGGGCGCCAACTGAGAAAAAAAAATTTAATGGAAAGGGGGGGTCTTGTGATACATCCTTTTGAAGCTCCTGACGAGAACTTTACAACCCTAGAATATAAAGTCAATATCTTCACCTACCCTACTGCAAAATCATGGAACATTTAATAATTGCTTGAATACATGGACGTTTAACTTCATAATTTGAGGAAATGAGCTGAGTTCAGTTCAGAAGATGCTCCAAATGTTTGCCTTGAAGTGCTTGACATAAGAACAGCCTATCCGATATTTCATGTCGAACATTTTCGAACACAATTACGTGGATATTTCTACAAATATTTATTATTCTCTGCCGTATATCAAATATTGAAGCCGGTCCAGTTTCGTACACCTTTTTCTTCAAATAGTCTCATAGAAAAAGTCAGAAGGTGTCAAATCTGGCGAGCGAATTGGCCATTCCGTAGGACCGACGGCCAATCCAACAACCAGAGGAAATATTATCCAAATAGTTTTCCACTTGTATAGAGTTATGTGGTGGTGCTCCATCTTGTTGGAATACAATATCCATATTGAATTCATTAGGATTTGCTTTGATGATTTCAGGGATAAGAGGGTCGAAAGTATTTTTCAGCATATTCAAATACAGTTCCCCTGTTGAATTTTGTTCAATGAATAGATATTAATGTTTTTGTATTCAGGCAACTATGTGCTCCGCCATTTTGTAGTAGGTGAAAATATTGACTTTATATTCTAGGGTTGTGAAGTACTCGTCAGGAGCTTCAAAAGGATGTATCACAAGACCCCTCTCTTTAATTTTTTTTTTCAGATGGCGCCCAGTCGCCATCTTGAAGTTTTCATCTGTCAATTTCACTCCAAATGCATCAATTTCATTATCCCAAGTTTCAATTTTTTCAGTTGACCCGTTCAAAGAATAAACGGAGGAGGGGGGGGGCATTAAAGAAAATCTGGCTCGCTTTCGTCGCTCTCTGTCTCTCCAGGCGTGTATACAAGGGGAAGGGTAATGGTAATAGGGGTAATTATCCCCCGCAGAAGATCCCCAATGGGACCTTTTTGCAAACCCCAAGTGTTTTCAATGACTGATGTGGTTCACTCAAGAGAGCTGGCTAACATCCTTTTCAGGCACCGCCAATCAGCTCTCTTTTCAGAGTTTTTCAGCTGTGTTTTGTAGGCTAGTAATGTACTCACTACCATATGCGCAGTGGCAGGCCTGCTAACTATCATCGTTAACCCCCGAGACCGAGGTCTACTTAAGCAGCTGGCCCGCTCTCACGCTCAGCTGGTAGTTTTCCACACCCACCTACATACACCGTCCTACTTCTTCTCTGATGCTCACAACCACATCATCATATCTTTCTGCGTGTTCTGTGTAGGCTTTGTTACTAACTCCATGCGCCACTTTAGGAGCAGCACTGTTAATTGGAACGCAACAGCGAATCGTGCAGCACTATCTCCAGCCGATGCTCCGAAACTTTACAATATTTAATTCGTAAATAAAATATTGAAAAAAAGTTCCTTGCCCTTGCTGGAAATCGAACCCACGGTCGTGAGACGGACGCTCTTCCACTGCGCCAATCCCGGCTTCCATTCAACAGGTAACTATAGTTTCTAAAACTGAAAAATGCCACAACTACAGCTTGCAAGTTCATTTTCCACTTGACAATTTAATTTATGCTTTTAAAATCCCGTGAGCCGTAAGTGATTTCGTCATTATGACAGCGAAAAAAGTTTGCCTCAACTTTTCTAGTGACAATTCAATTCATCAATAAAAAATTCCATGAGCTGCTGTGATTTTGTCATTATGACATTGAACTTTGCCCGAAGTTTTCACGCGACAAAACGGAACCTAACATTTGAAACCATGACAACCAGAATTGCAAACGATTCTCGATGACGTTTTGTAAATTTTTCTCAATCTGGCGTTGTCGGAAAAGTATTCAATCTGTGAAAATGTCGCGATTTGGAAAGTATTTGAGTGTAGAAATTGAAAAATTCATCAACAATAATGTGATTCAGGCATTCAATTGTCTTACTGAATCATTACATTCAAGCATTTTTTTCGTAGTTCAAGTAAATTTGACATTTATAATCTCATTTCGGTTGTCTTTAGGAAATATTAATTTCCATTTGGAGAAAACAAACTGTCTCTGAACTAATGTTCTCTCACCTTTATGATAGATACCCCGCTGACAACCCTAACTATCAATTTAAAGTCATTTGACTTGGAAAGAAAACAATTTCGTCTGCGCCGTTTTTTTTTTACTTTCTGTTACCCCCCCTCCATGGTTTCTCTGTGTTTTCTCACCTCGGATCGGCTTCGCTTCTGATATATTTTCGTAAAAATTCTGAATGTTTCGGCCACGATTCCCTTTCCACCGGCAGGATTTTTGATTCGTCGATGAAAGAGATGGCTTTCCTTCGATCCGGGGAATCCGGGATCTCCACCGATTTCGCTCGTTTCTTGTATTTGCGTTTCGGTTTCTTTTCGGGCGGCTCTTCTCGCTCTTCTTCGTCTTCTTCTTCTTCTTTGATCTCGTCTTGTTGTTCTTCTATTTCGTCGTCTTCTTCGACGGGTTCCGGTTTGGGGGGTTGTTCTGGGCGAGGGTGTTTCGGGGGGCGTCCCAATTTAGGTTTACTGAATAAAAACAAGAGAAATTTGAGAAATTTCGAAAATAAAGAAAAGAAAACTAAAACACAAGAAACAAAAAACAAAAAAAGCAAAGGAAACTTGAAAGTAGATAGTGAATGCTAATTTTCTAGAAGAAATAAAATAGTGAAAAATAAATGATAAAAAATAAGACACTGAGCCAGAATTAATGCCCATAAAATGCAGAAAACACAAGAAACTGAATAAAAAATTATAAAAAAAAATAAAGTGAAAAAGCAATGACTATAAACAAACGAAAAAGTGGAAATGCAGAACAAACAAATTGAAAAGAATAATTTAGAATTACAAAAAAACATATAAGAATAGCCAAACATATTGATGATGAAATAAGGGATTGAAGGGATAAGTTTGGTTGAAATGCTTACATTTTACATTCTTTTGGTTCTCTGGATACAGGTACCACAGCTTCCGGACTCTTGTCGGGACTCAGCAACCTATCGGGCAATATCTTTTCCAAATCGATGTTTTCTTCCGCATAAGGACAGTATTTTAATGTGGAATGGCTGGAGAATTTCGGTCCTTGTATATGGCCCTGTCCGCGACAACCCACTGTAGGGCATTCCAGAAAGTCGTAAACGTCTTCAGGAGCTGAAAAAAAAAAGAACTATTGTGTGGTACACATTTGGATGTTTTTGTTGTGATTTCCATGTAACTGAACGAAACCGCCCATATTATCCCCACCATTCGCGATTTTATTCATCTTTTAGCGATTAGAGGTTTGTTGGCATATACTTTTCGATGAATCATGAAAGAATCGCGGTTTCTATATCAATCCATGTTCTGTCCGAAGTTGGAACATACTTTATCGCCACAATATGAAAGAATAGATCGAATATACTCACTCAAAGGCGGCTCAATCGGATGTCCAGTTTTCTGGCACCACCCCATCGGATGCACGTCGGCGCTGTCGTCGTCCACCCAGTAACTGTATCTGTCCCGCCATCCGTCGAACTTGATCCGGATCTGGTGCTCCTTGACGTCGTCCACCGTCGCGACGCGGATCAGCTGCGGCACGCGCCGGTCGACGCACTCGAGCCGCATCGAGCGCTTGAAGCCGCACGCCGGTCGCTGCTTGAAGGCGCGCACGGGCGCCGCGACGGCTTTGCGTTCTTTCAGGTAGGACTCCCAAGAAAACGATTCGGGGTTGGGGTAGTCTGTAATAGTATAGTTTACTTTATTTATTGTCAAATTTTGTTTTTGTTTTTTATGTTCTGGTTCCCACGAAAAGAGATATCCTGTAATGTTCAGAGAACATCGTGAGAACCAAGAGAAATTAGGTAGGAATTGGTGTTCTTCTTGAATTTCTGGATGTTATATGCCTCAGGGAACACCTCCCTTGGCAATGTGTTCCAGAGCCTCGCTGTTCGTTGGATGAACGAGTCTTCGGAAAGAGATGTTCTGCATGTCACCAAAGTGACCACGTAGGGGTGCGAAGCCTCAACTCGACGGGTTAATCACGCGGGGACTGCCAAGGGAGGAACAATTGTGATATTTCAGAAGAGCATCGTCTATGAAAATATCTATAAAATAGAGCCAGATCGCCAACTTTTCTACGGTGTTCCAGAGAAGTGAGTGAGTTTGTGAGCGAGGCATCACCCACGAGACGAATTGCCCTTTTTTGGACAGAATCCAACAGTTTCAGGGTATGTTTGGGTGCTGCACTTCAAATATGGGAACAGTATTCCAGGACAGGACGGATCTGTGCCTTATAGATCGTAAGCAGCTGGCTGGAAGTGAAATAGCTCCTGGCCCGTTTCTGATTTGCCTGGCTGGAATTGGAGCCCTGGAAAAGAAGGCGGTATGGAGGGTACTATCATCCGCGAAGCTGTGTACTGAACATGAAGTTGCTTCCAACAAATCGTTGATATGGAGTAGAAATAGTGTTGGTGCTAGAATTGATCCTTGCGAAACACCAGCATTCATGATAAGAGAGTCAGATGAAACTCCGTCGCCACTACATGGAGAGACTTGTTTGAGAGAAAACTAGCTAGCAGAGAACATAGCTGGCGAGGCAAGCCATAAGATGGAAGCTTGGCGAGGAGTCCGTGGTGCCAGACTCGATCGAATGCCTTGGAGACATCAAGTGCCACGGCTAAGGTTTCGCCATATTTTTCAATAGATTGCTGCCATATATGTGAGACGTAAGCGAGCAGGTCACCAGTTGATCTCTGATGACGATCGATCGGATGAGCCATATTGCTCATCTGACTGACAAACAAAATAGGGATTGAATAATACTCCAAATCTTTATTATACTGAGAATGTATCTGAGTAAGGACTGGGCGCTAGGAGGGGAAGAACGTCCCCTATTGCGGACACCCCTGAAACACCCTGTATAAATATAAGTCAATAATCACGGTAGTCTGTAACGTGACCTTATCGTGGGGGAATGTATAATCTCTGGTGACACTCTTACCGTTCGGAGGTGTGAGATTGTGGCCGTACTGGTCGCACCACCCCACCGGATGGATGTAGGGGGAAGTGGGGTCGGCCCAGTAGTCGTAGATGTCGTCCCAGCTGTCGAAGTGCACGAGGATGCGATTGTCCATCATGTCCCTCACGCTGGCCACGCACACCAGTGCGGTGTTCTTTCGATCGACCGCCTCTAGTTTCATGCCAACCCTGAACCCGTTCGGACATATTGCCTGAACAAAAAACAAAATATATGATCCCAGTCAACACATCTGTGACATGTCATCTCCGAGATGTCGCGTTTAGGTAACAGTAAGGTATTACAAATGTTCCATCGCTGCAATATTCTATCTGCTATATGACATCTCTGAGATGTCGCTATGAGGCAACGCTGCGATATTAAGAATGTTACATCGTTGCGATATTACATCTCTGAGATGTCGCGATGAAGCAACACTGCGATATCATGAATGTTACATCGCTGTGATGTACAGAAGCAGACACATCTGCGACAAGTAATCTCTGAGATGTCGCGATGAGGCAACATTGCAAAATCACGAATTTTGTATCGCTGCAATGTACAGAAGCAAACTCATTTGCGAGAATTTTTCAAAAATTTATTATTTAGATTCTTGTTCCGTGAAAAACAATACATGAATATACGTTACTCAACATAATGAAGCTTAATTCGCAAACATTGGGTACATTGCTATCAAACTATTCTTGGTTTGCTTACATCTCGTTGACACACACTACATAATTTTTTATACAAATATGATTAACTGATCTCATTTTGATAGATTCGTGGGTACCAAGGATAGAGTCGCTGAAAAGACGATGGAATGGACAGGAGACCCGAGGGACCAGTGACCACCATGTTTGAGGAAACTGTTTTCGTTTCACTGCGATGTCATCTCGCATCACATCGTAGTTTTATGGCAAAAACACATCGCTTTTCCATCATAAATAACATATCAGAATTACATTGCAAAAAGTCTATCGCTGTTATATCTCAGAAAACTTATCGCACCAACGTCGCATGGATGAAACTTGAGTGGGACAAAATAGCTTATCCCTCTGACATCGCAGTGACGTCTTTGTGACATAGAATGCGATATATAAGGTCACAATTGTTACATCGCTGCGATATCTCTGTGATGTAACTGTCTCTCCTCGTTTCTATACAATAAAAATGTGAGTATTATTTCAATATATCACTCTTGATTCAAATGAAACTCTTGCTAGTTTTGATGTAGTACGTATATTCACAAATGTTTCAATAGATAAAATTTTACAAATCGTGAAATATAAATTAGAAGACGATGAATGACTCACTGAGAGAACCAATATGAGTATGAAAGGAATAATGGAATTTTTGGAACTTTGTCTAAAAACAACTTTGGCATGGCCATTATCTCCAATATAGAGCAATATATTCATGAAGGATTTTTAAGAAAACAATCTAAAATTACCACGAACAATCTAAAACATGGTGGCGATACGTAGATGATATTTTCATAATTTGGCCACATAACCTCATGATGCTAGATATTCTTCTGGATCATGTGAACAATGTTGTACCTACCACAGAGTTCACTTTGGATATTGAGTCTAACGATCAGTTACCTTTTTTAGATGTTCATTGTTGTAACAACTGTATATCGTAAAAAGACTCACACTAAGAGATACTTGAACTTTCAATCAAATCATCAGAAAAGTATCAAAAAAGGAATAATATTAATGAAGTCGACCACATTGAAAATGTTCTTCAGCTCAACTCCTACCCAAAGAAGCGGGCATTTTGTTGACTTTTTTTTTTTCATTTTGTCTAATCCCCCAATGAAATAAAAGAAATTGCCATTATTGGATAGAAAAAATAGATAACTTTATTTTCCTACTCACATGACTAAAATGGCGAATGATAATAATAATAAGTGCTTTATTGGTTACCCAATTGGCCAACGACCGAAGTCCTTCAGCCTGTAACACATTGAAATCTATTGTATTTCATTTCTTTGATTGAATAATAAAATATAATCATATTTATGTGAATTATTGTTTGATGATTGATCAATTTCTTAATTTCTTGGCATTTCTGTGTTGAAGGTGTTTACTGGAAACTTGTGACTTGAGGTCTCTGTAGGGTGTCTTTGGATGCACTGGGTTTGAATGATTTGCAGGTAACTTTCATTGTTGGAGAACTTCTGTGCTAGTTTTTCCAGCCTCTCGCTAATTGGTTGTACATTAGTGAGTTGGTAGAGGAGTTCATCTGGAGGGTTGTGAAGGGGGATACTAAAATGGCATTTTTCTACTCACATAACTAAAATGGCATTTAGCGTACGGATATGTACCACGCTAAATGATCGATTAATCACGGATTGACGATCTGTGATTTATTCAAAATATTAAACACGTTACCATGGCAACACGATTTCTTAAACACATCACCATGGCAACACAGTTCATTAAACACAGCTTCAGTAATTTGAGACATGCCTGGCCTGTCAATTGTATCAACTGTCAACTGTTATTTTCGAATTTTGTATCAGAATTATTCAAACAATTTTTGTTTGTATCAGAATTCTTCATTAAAAATATATGCGAAATGTAGACGAAAGTGAAATCGAAGAGAATGTTTTGGTACTTGCATATCTCCAAGAAGTGTGAAAATGAAGCATCCATCTTTGAGAACAATTTATTTATTCTGCGCTAAGCATGACAATAAACGTGAATGGTGAAACAAAGGTTAGTAAGCAATGGACTGGACACATCTGCGACCAATATCACTTATATGTGTCTCGCTGGTTGCATGCAGTTGTATGTATTATGTTCTCAATTACCATTCCTTTCGAATTATTTATAGGTTAGCAGAAATAGCAGGTATGTTAATGTAATTTTCGGAGTTCGTAGAAAAATCATAGTATGTAAAGCGTTTATAAACTCTTCTAGACATTCGTTTATTAAACACTCGCTCCGCTCTGCTCCGCTCGTGCTTAAAATACTCGTTACTAAAAGGACGTTTATAACACTTGTTACATAATATACTATTATCATACAATGATCAATTAATCACGGATTGATGATCTGTGATTTATTCAAAAAATTAAACACGTTACCATGGCAACAGCATTTCTCAAACACACCTTCAGTCGTTCGAGTCTTGTCCGGCCTGTCAATTGTAGGAACTCTCAACTGTCATTTTGGAATTTTGTTGCAATCAGAATTATTCAAACATATTCCGTTTGTATCAGAATTCTTCATTGAAAATGTATGCAAAATGTACACATATAAACACACACACACATGTATAAACGAAAAAATATCATGATTTAATTAAAAAATTCAGACTCAATAGAATTTTCTCACCTGTCCGGCCCTGTTGGCGAACAAATGCTTGGGCGCGGCCGTGCCCTTGGTCGCCTTCAGATAGGCCGACCAACTGAAGTTGTCCACCTTGTAGCCGGAGGGCGGTTGCAACACGTGCCCGTACTTCTCGCACCAGCCCATCGGGAAGACGTCCATGCTGTCGGCGTTGCACCAGAAGTCGTAGTTGTCCGGATAGCCGTCGAAGTGCAGACGCATCCTGTAGCCGACCACCTGTTCAAAGCAATGAAATGTATGTAAACAACTGGAAGGGACCCACTGTGAACGACGAGTGAGGCAAAAATATTTTTCAGGCAACCCGCAGTGTTTACGGATACCTATCTCTCTCTATCTTGTGTTGGCTAATGGGAAGCGCTCGCATAATTTGAAATATTTTCTCGTTTTTTGCTTCTATTTAAGAGTAAACGTGATTAAATAAAAATATTCATTTAGGAAAAAGGATAATGTTGTAATCAATTATCATTAAAAAATTATTACAGATTTTTTTATTGACTTTAAAATGAAATTTCAATATTACTCTTACAGGATCAGGAAGTCAAATGAATACAAAATTGAAATTATATATTTTTATTCAAATTTCACAATATATTGTACAGGGTGAGCGAAGCACAATGTCCCAGAACTATCAGAAGGAAAAGAAAAACGATAGGAAAAATTTGAAAAGAGGTTCTTGAATGGTATTGATGAGTGCATTTTGAGCATAATTTCCATAGGTTCCCATTCCTCCATAAGGTCACTCATTAATTGTCATTACTATACCCACTGTTGGAAATTGATTGAACTACTTATTCTTTCATGTTTGAAATTTTTAGGTCTCTCCTTTTTACTTTTTGTCTCAGTGTGTTCACTTTTCTCCTCAATACAAAATATCCTTCTCTAATGAAACAGTTTTGAGTTTCTTCATTGATCAACTTCGAAACTTGGGAGCTGGAAGTGGTAGGCAAGTCAAAGTCAATAACATGGGAAACTTCTTCCTAGGTGCAAACATACTTCTTTTTCATTATTAATCAACTAGGTACCTATGAGTTTTCTTATTTTCCTAGGGGAATCAGCATTTTTTTATGACAAATGCTGAGGAAATGAAAATATACTGGGTACAGCATCTGCTTTCAAAAACCTAGCAGTACCTGGTATGCCTGAATAATCTGTTGGCAGGAAATGCTCCCCACAAAGCTTGCTGCTTTTAGTTGGAGTCCAATTCTCACTAGGAACTGCCTTTATCCATAATTCGAGAATGTCTGGTCTTTTGAATGGAAAACTGCAATAAATAATATTACTCAATATCAATATGGAAGTATTCAACTTTGACAAATAAAATAGGTATAGTTTCTGAACATATTCTGAGACTGGACATTGTAAACCTAACTGATGATCATTTCATGAACTATATTTTTCAAAAATCTGAGAACAATATTCAACTTACCCATGGAATGCTAATTTCCTTTTGTTTTGTTCATTCTTCTTGCATCCAAAGGCGACACAATAAATCACCATTGTTTATCAATACTTATCACAAACCTTCTCAACAATCAGTTCAGTGTTCACAACAACAAATTCAGTCCTTTTGTTACAACAAAACACGCCAAATGAATAGATATTTCACCTCGTATTTCACATGAACTAAGACAATGAACTTATGTCTTCACTTTCTTGCCAGTGTAGATGACAGAAAACATTTTTTACTACTTTAATTATTAGATAAAAGAAAATTTATACACCAATCCACCATTAAACAACACGAGTTGGAATAGGACAGGTATCCGTAAATCATGCTATCTTTGTTGCAGCTGCCCCTGACACACTTTGTGCTATTCCAGAGAACGATCGTATCCCTTCCAGTTGTATTGAGTTCATTGGTTCAAAGGGCCGAATCAAAATACCGGGTGTGTGGCAAAAGTGGCTCACCCCTCCAGATCATTGTCAGCTAGGATTTTTTCAATTAGATATTTCTCATATGAACAGCTCTGACTGACCCTGACCCAACCATACAAAAAAAGGATGTAGTTGATTCAGGAGTAGGGGTCATTCTCAAAATAAAATAAAAAATTCCATATGTACTTTTGCCAAAATAATATAAAAATAATTAATAACATAGTAAGTAGCATACAAAATAAAAACGAATAACGTTGCATTTAGTGTAGAACAAACACTAATTTTAACATCTGAAACATTTTTATGATAATTGAAAGAATTTGAGGTTCATTTTGAGCACTTTTTACAATTTTTTCAAATTTTCAGAAATCGGTAACAATTCTCCGTCAAGGCATAACACATGGTCTTTAAGAATGACACATTTTCTTCAATCTAACGGATCAAATATCTCTCACTAACAAGATATCAAAATTGATAACATACTGTATAATGTATAATTAGTTCAATTTTCAAAAATTAATGGAGAGCCTTCAATAATTGATTTTTTTTCATCACAAAACAGCAAGTACACACGTGTAGTAAGTAATACAGGATCAAATTCCACACTATAATGATTTTCTTATCCCACTGGCATTGTCAATATTTACAATATTCAAAAGTGTTTCCTTGAAATCATTTCATGATATGAAGAGTGAAGAGAACGTAAAATATGCATTTCCGGAACCAACATAAACAAATTCGAACAATACAACACATTAAAACATGCTTTATTATGAATTAGGTATGTGTCATTACCTGATACCAAACATAACTATATGAATAAGTTATCTGAAATAATGAAAATGAATTGGAACTGCCTTGACCTCAATATCATTTGAGCTGTCTCCTCATATCAATGAGTTTTCTTTGAATGATGTTCTTGATTATCTACAATCGTTTTTTTTTTCGATTTTTTCATAGGTTTTTTATGCCCCTTACAAAAATTGATAGTTTCATATCAAATATTCAAAAAAATATATTGATTGTCAATTTTCGTAAATGAAACATTCAGGAATAAAAATTCATGATAGCTCATAGCTTCTGGGCTATTCAAAGAAAAGAAACACTGAAATGGGGTTCAGGAAATTTCCTTACTTTTTCAGATATCTCCGAAAGTATTTGGAATATTCCAAGTTTCAAAGCAACATTTTGTAGGCATGAAATTGTGCATCTAATGAGGCTCTAATTCCAGCCAGCCTGTAAACTCCGAGGATGACTGAGAAAATTCCTACCAACTGACTCTGTACAAACAAGAAATTTACACGGGGAGAGGGTATATGGTGGATCACCCTGTACATACACCTATTAGTGTAATGTAGAAGGATCCATGTGCATTTTATATATCATTCCAAATCCTGTACAAAATTGTAATTAGTTCCAAAAAGAGAGGTAAAGTTAGGTGAATTTTGAACAATCAAGTGTTTTATATCAAAAAATTATCATATATAATACCACAAGTGATAATATTTTGCCGGAAATATTCGGTGATTGTTACGACAGCTTGATGCCTAGTAATTTCGTGAATGACATTGTTATCAAAACTACAAAACTACGAGCCGTAGGCGAGTAGTTTTGGATCAATGTCATGAGCGAAATTAGAGCAGCAAGCTGGAGTATGTCAATCGACGAATATTTCCAGGAAAAATATTATCACGAGTTGTATTCGTATGACTATTTCATGATTGAATGAGACAATAAGTATATATAAGAAATAGGAAACATAATATAAGTATATTTCAACTCAAACGGCGAAGAAGAACATAATAATAGTAATGAAATACAGAATTAATTTTTTTAGAAATTAACTACCTACTTATAGTTATTCACAAAGTGGAATGTACTTTTTTGATGAACAGTATTTTGTTTATTATCTTGGAGATGGTTGCTCTCAAAAGAGTATAATATACATTTGCTATCCAATTCGAACAAAATGAATTGAATTTATGTGACATGAAATAATTTAAAAAAAAAATGTTGTTGCCGACGGGCTTGAACCACCGAGTTGAACCACCGAGTTGAACCACCGACCTTCGTATCACCGCGCCACAACCCTATCAGTTGAGCCACATCAGCTGGTAATTATTTTAGTTACAATAACTTGAGTGACTGAAGAAGATTACTTTAAAAAGGAATTTGAATTCTAGTATTGTTGTGTCAGACCGTCAAAAAATATGCAAACTTATTAAATTACACATGAAACGTCCAGCCAGAATGAAATTGTCTCGTCTTTCGTACAAAATGTCTCACTAACGTGAATTATAAGTAAATAAAATGAAGTAGGTACTTAGGTACTTGTCTCTTGTGTCAGATTTGAATCCAAAGCAATCTTGACCAGACACGATGTCAAAATTTTATCGCTGATAAACGAGGTTTGTTGGTCACATGTGGGTCAATTCGGCTTCCGTATTGGTAGAGCAAGTCCGATAAAATTTAATAAACAAAAAATATCGCTAGAATACAGAAGAAACTGTGAAAATGGTCAATTCTGATTGGTTCTCGAGATCAAGAGTGGAATAGTCTTGAAAATTCGTCATTGGACTAGCAATTCGAGAATATTAATGAGATTCGGATACATTTTGAAATCCAAATGCACAAGGATGCAAATCAACTTTTTTCAAATTCAATGAAACAGAATAAAGTTATCTTTTATTGAAATTCCTTGAAATTTGGAATACTTCACAGAATTGGAGTTGGGTGCACAAGACTCTGTCTGTTCAGGTAATGTAAAAGTATGTGAAAATAATTTTTATGAATAAATTAGAACAACAACAATAATTACTGAAAATGGAAAAAGTAGTCATCAAAAAAGTATTTTCAATGGGAAGAAAACATTGAAAAATGACTTTATTCCACTTTGAATATTCATAGTAAGGCTGTTGGATTCATGTTATATCTTCAGATTTTTCTCTCAAGACTGTTAATTTCTGTGAAAAAAGTTTATTCAAAACATATACTTTTGTTTGTTTTCATTATTACATGAAAGAAAGGGAACTTGAAAAACTGTGAGCAAAATTTTCTGGAAATCATTTTGTGGCACATGAATCCCTCATCAATTCATGTCAAAAATAATTCCAAAATTATTGTCTAACCTCTGCAACTGTGAGAACACAAAAATACGAAGGGTGCTGTGGATCCACCCCTTCCAGTTTCATTCCAGGCTTGAACCCGTTCCGGGTGTACGGAAAAGGGTCCTTGAACAGTTTCACAGGTGCTGGCTTGGCCTTCACATGATCCAAATACTTCGACCAGGAGAAACCCTTCTTTTTGCAGGCCCATGGGTAGGTGAGCTTGTCTTGAGAATTATTGTCCACGCTATCCTCCTCGCTAATTTCTTCCTCTTTTTCTACCTTGACAGGTTCTGGCTCCACCTAGGATCCATCAGGCAAAGTTTCGAAAAAAAAAATTGACAATAAAAATTTTGCTAAATCTAGGATGCCTTGATGTTAGTTTGCTGAATATGTTTTGATTAGGTTAATGACCACATAAACATGATAGAGGCTATTACTAATCTTAGCTTTTGAACCAGTTATACAAAGTGAAGTCTTTAACAGAAAAAAATAGCTAGAAGTTCAGGAATATTTGAGAAGAATGTAAAAATAAAATTCTTGTGGTCTTCATACCACTGGGAGAAACCCCATTTTATTATTACAAGCTTTTATTTTTAGCTTCACCTGTCCCGGCCTCTGTGTGTCTGTAATCAAATTTTGTAAGTTGATAAATATAATACACTTCTAATCGCAGTGCTGCCAACTCAGTTTTTGAGAAATCGAGAGACAAGCGATCTTTATGTCGGGAGATTTGATTTTGAAATCGGGAGATCTCTTTGAGAGAAACCTAACTTGAAATGAACTATTTTCACAATTTATGTTGTATGTATGATAGTAAAGCAGGGTGTCCAAACTTTGGAATCCAATTCCAATCGATAGTGAAAAATTGTGATAAAAGCAGTGTATTCATAATATATGAATAATAAAATGAAGTAAAATGTCAAGAACAATAAATACAAATTATTTATTCATTATTCATTCTTTCACTACAGGAACAAGAAACACCTCCAATAAATCAAGAGATATCAACTATTCAACTGAAAATCGGTAATCATCTATGAGTCTTTCTGAATATCGGTAGTTTATCCATGATCTCTATGAATATCGGTAATCAGGAGATCTCCCGATATATCGGGGTGGTTGGCAGCACTGCTAATCGTCTGATCGATTTGAAATTTGGCAGGTGTATGTACCTACATAATTCTGGTGACAATACATCATAACATTTTTGTTGCCGAAAAAAACAAAATGACGACTCCAAAATGGAGGATTCAAAATGGCGGATGAGTTTTATATTTATGATGTAATTATGCTATGATTCTATTCAAAATTGGTATTGGGGGGTTTTTGGGGTCGGCCATTATGAGTCTACTGTTGAAATTGAAAAATTCAAGATGGCGGCTTCTATATGTCGGACGAGTTTTATTATGATCTGATTCTATTTAATTTAAATTTATATCTGGGGGTTATCCAGGTCGGAGATTATAATTCTTTCCTCAAAATTGGAAAATTCGAGATGGCTGATCCAATATGGAGGATGAGTTTTGTGATCATAGTCCAATTATATTTGAAATTAGTATGTGAGCGCTTTTTGTTGTAGGATATTTTTATAATTTTTTTGTTTGTTTTTTGTGATTTTTATTCAATGTTTATTGACTGAGAGGAAACTGTATATATTTCAAGTGACAATGACAATGCATTTCACTGTCACTTCCTTGGTAATAAATCCAAATGGCGTATTTCTGATAGCTTTTAGAGCTAAATAATATTAATCTCTAGACAAAATCTGTAAATTAAAGATGGCGTTTCAAAGATGTCGGACGAGTTTGTTATTGCAGGTCGGATTCGGTGAAAAATATGAATCTAGGGTCCTTCTAGGTTGAAAACCTTTAATTTCTAGTTGAGATCTGTTAATTCAAGATGGCATTTTCAGATGGCAGACAAAAGTTTTTTAATTCAAGTCCAATTTGTCTGAAAATGTAAAGCTGGATGTTTTTGAGGGCCAGAAATACAAATAGTCAAAATCTGTAAATTCAAGATGGCGGACGAGTTTGTCATTTCAAATCCACTATTCTTGTCTGATTCACCAGAAATTGATCATCTTCAGGTCAATATAATTATGATTTTCAAGTTAAAATATATGAGAATCATTCAAGTTTGGAAAACATCATCACATAATAATTGATGGAAAACATGCACATAATTATAAACTTCTGCAAAACAAGCAGTGTCTGTATTCATATAGGAAGTATCTCCTGGGGAGAATAAATGTAACATATATTACCTTGACCTTTTTCTTCCTTTTCTTCATCTTCTCAGACTTCTCTTTCTTGACTTTGACCTGGTTTGTTTGATGACAGTCAAAGCTGCAAAATTTTGGGCTAATAAAGTCAGACCTCATCCCAAAGCACCCACACTCTAAACATCTTACTTCTTCCTGCAGTTCACTTTTAATTTTTTCTCTCACCTTTGATATATGTTTTTCAGTCATAGTTTTGTACTCATCATCAGTGATGTACTCAATCAAGTTGAACTCATTCATTATGAATTTCAATCTGGAACCTTTCAAAGTACCTATACCATCTTCCCATTTGAGCACTTTTTGGAGATCACAGTCTTCAGTCTTTAAAACGGGTGTCTGCTCTTCAACTAGTTCTATTTCCATTTCACTAGTGAGATTTTGTTTGGTTTTTGTCACTTCAAAAGAGGATTTTGGTAAGGAATCAGTCCCAAGGCTGCTAGTTGATGTGACTTCCATTTCATCAAATTCTTTTCGGTAGGAGAAGTTAGATTTTCGCCTGCTGACTTTTTCTGGTTTTGCAGGGACAGGGATAGTTATAATGACACTTTCTGATTCACTACTACCTGGTTTGGTTATCACAATCTCCTTGTTTTCTGAAACTGAGTTGGAATTGTTACTAACAATTGGATTATTAATTTTTTCAACTTTGTGATCTGTAAAACTGTAATTCTTTTTCAAAATCGACACCCCATGTTTGGGAAACTTGGGCAAGTCTTTACCAGGTCTAGGTGCTATCACAGATGATCTAACTTCATTGTGGGAGCTCAAAGAGTCCTCAATTATGCTTAGTTCATATGATTTATTAGCAATATCACTCTTATCTGGGCTATCCAAATCAATTATTTCTTCACAAACTAGATTTTCGCTGTTGCTGTCCACATCCATACTGTTTTCATTTGAAAGATTATTACACATCATAGTAATATCTGAACAATTGCTTTGTAGCTGTCCATCAGTTATTTTGAAGTTACTGTATAATTTGTGTCTATTGAGTACTTGCTCAGTACAAGGCACTGGCATTGGTAATATGGATAATTTGGATGTGATGCTGTTTGTTGTAATAGTAGTAGGTAGATGTTGGTTTGTAGTTATTTTGGGCATAGGAGCTATAATAAACTTTTTCAACTTTTGTTGAGTACTTTGTGATTGCAGAAAAGTATTGTTGTTGATTATAGGCAACTCATGAAGTTGTGGAATATTACTTGCATTGATTTGAATAGTATTTACAGAATTAATGTTTGCAGGTTCAGTGCTACTATTAGTTGATTTCAGTGTAAAAACGCCTGAAAATTTTGTAGTAGTAGCTATAGTGACTGGAACCACTGGTAACATATTGCCTTGTGGTTTTTGTAAGACTAAAGGTGGTGGTCTCCCTGTTGCATAAATAACATTCTGATTTGTTGGTACACTAGCACTAGCTATTGTGGTAGCAATAGTTTTGTTTTTGTTTGGGCTTGATGAGAGACTGGCAATTTGAAATTTCGGAATCTTGGCATTATTTATCATTGGGAAACTTTTGGAAGAGTTTTTGAAGTATACTAGTGGTAGAACTCGAGGTGATTTCAATGGAACTGAAGTATTTGTAGTTGGTGGTGAATTGGCTCTGGTAGTTGGTTCCTCATATTTGGAGATGGTTACATCAGAGGAAGTATTTTCTAAAATAACTTTGCTGTTCTTTGTATTTATAGTTATATTAGTGGGATTGTCCAATTCCTCTCGGGTTATTGTTAACCCAGTTGAAGTAATTGAAGACATTTCTGCAAAACCATAAGAAAAATGTTAGTTTTTTCAAAATTTCCAGTTAGGAAAATGAAATGTGAGAAATATATCAATTGATAAGGAAACACTATCAAAATAATCTAGGTGTTTATCAAATCGATTTGAAGTTACACAAAGAAATTGCTCAAAAATAGTTTTGTCCACAATTTGAATAAAAAATATAGAATTTCTTGTTGGAAGTATGATAAATATGTGTGTCTGGCGGTTGTGACTGACCAATATACCTAGTAGCCACAAAAACTTTTGTACATAGTATAAAATAGAATTGGAGATGAAGGTTACCAATAAACAGAACTATAAATGAAGATGAAATTGATTGATAAATACCTTCGAAAAATGTTCTCAACCACTACACATTAAAAAAACTTAAATTTTCTGACAGAATAAACTATTCATCTGATTTCCACAGAATAATCCAAAGATTGATGCTGCGCATGCGCTGATCACGGGAGGGGAGTCGATTTCCGTAAAATTGAACTTCCCGCGCTTAAATTTCCAATTAAATTTTCACTTTGAAACTTTGGGAGTAGTCCTAGGAAAAATCATATGCTCATCAAAATAAACCCATCGAAACCCTCAGCTTTGTTGACGATATTTGTTTCGAACAGACTTATTTTTATAAAATCATACCTATTTATAAATATTTCAATGAACCTGCTCCCAACAGAACATAGGTATTTGGGTAGGTACTTCCTGCAACTTTACAGTTTACTCTGCCTAAAAATTGATCGTCGCAAGACCCAATGGCACAAAAAATTCTGTCATTTGAATAATGGCCTATCGATTTGAAATATTAATTGAACAGAGGCTTCGTTAAGCGATTGTATACCTATATCTAACTCAAATCTCTGAAAGCAGATCACATGTAAGTAAAATGGAGGCCATTATTTTTAATCAAATCTACTCAATGCTGGTACACACGCGCTTTCTTGTAGGTGGTGTCGGTGTGAAACGGCACGTCCACTTGAAACCTTTCTATTTTACATCATAAATATTTATTTTTCTATGTTTTCAGAAAGGTTTATTAATCTGAATTTCTGAATACTTAGGTATATCATTGTTAAATTAGAGAGAGGTCATATAGAGATAATCCATAGTAGGTATTTTTGTATTATGAAAAATAGCATAATATGTAAGGCATATTTTTCTATAGTTAGTACCTACTACTTTTTTATAAATAATAATAGATAGTTCTTATATTATTATATCCCGTGTATATATCTACTATAACCTATTGGAAAATTATTATATTATTTGTGGAAAGTTAGGTATATACATCATGCATAAACATCTCCGGTTTTCTCTTTCTTTTAAGAGGAGAGATTCAACCAAATCGACATGCAGGCCTTCACTAGATGTTGCTATATGGGCTTATGAATGATTCAATTGAAAAACTGATTAAATCATCGTAAAGAAGAAGGTTGGGACTAGGGCCTGGTTATCATACGGAGTCGAAACTCATTTATTTATAGAAGATACAGATTTTTGAAAAACGTAAACATTGAAATTTTTTTGTCTCAAATTGAAATATTTTCGATCTCAGTACAATTGTTGGAAATTCGGCAAGGTGTCACTGGAATATCAGCTCTTGAAATGTTTCCATTCGGACAGGAAGCAACAAAAACGATTATTCTGTCAACAAAATATCCATTCATCCCAGCTGATCTCGGTAAACTCCATTCCTTGAAAGAATGTAATGCAGGAAACTAGGATGTGGTAGTTCAGGCACTACCTGATAGATGGCAGTGTTCGAAATGACAGACTGCGGCAGAGAGGAATGGTGCATTGTATTGCAAGCAGATGGCGCTTAGGAGAGATGATGAATTCAAACCCGTTTACACCGTTGCCAATGTTATACATATTACTCGGACATATTATGAAATCTAGGCGACGTGATAATACAGAGGGTATTATTCAATTATCTGGGCATATTTCAAGGGGAGGTTCTCCGAGTGTTTGTAAGACGAACAAATCTAATATATAAAATTCTCCTGTCACGGTCACGGTCATAGTGGTCGAACTCCTCCGAAACGGCTCGACCGATTCGTATGAAATTTTTTGTGCGTATTCGGTAGGTATGAGAATCGGTCGTAATCTATTTTTTAAATAGAAAATACAAAATGGCGGATCCAATATGGCGACCGAGTATAGTTATCCGATTTCATTCAAAATTGGTACTCAGGGGTTTTCGGGGTCGGATATTATGAATATTTCGTCAAATTTTGGAAATTCAAGATGGCGGATCCAATATGGCGGACGAGCTTTGTAATTATGGTCAGATTCCATCCAAAATTGGTATCTGGGGGTTTTCGAGGTCGGAGATTATGATTTCTTCATCGAAATAAGGAAATTCAAAATGGTGGATCCAATATGGCGGACGAGTTTTGTAATTATTTTTTTTATCGCTTGGAGCGCACGAAAGAAAATCCCTATAATGTTCAAAGAACATCGTGCGTTCCTAGGGAGGATAGGGACAGGAGGTAGGTATTGGAGTTTTTTTTTGAACTTCTGGAGATTATATGTTGTTGGGAATACTTCCTCGGGCACTGAATTCCAGAGCCTAGCCGTTCTATGGATGAAGGAGTTTTGATAAAGTGCTGTTCGACATCTTTCGAGGTTGACAACGAAAGGATGTGCTGACTGGGCTTGTCTACTTCGTCTGGTATTGCTAGTGGAGGGATGATAGCCATTTCCCGTGGAAGTATCGATAGAAAAGTGAAAGGTTGCCGACCTTTCTACGGTGTTCCAATGATGTCAAAGAGTGAGTGAGTGTGGCGTCACCCACCAGGCGAATGGCTCTTCTCTGGATGGAATCTAAGAGCATCAGCGTATGTTTTGGTGCTGAACAGAACAGATTGGTCAGATATCATTCAAAATTGGTATCTGGTGGTTTTCGAGGTCAGGGATTATGATTTTTTATCAAAATTAGGAAATTCGAAATGGCGGATCCAATATGGCGGACGAGTTTTGTAATTATGGTCAGATTCTATTCAAAATTGGTATCTGGAGGTTTTAGAGGTCGTAGATAATTATGAATCATTTGTCAAAATGGGGAAATTCAAAATGGTGGATCCAATATGGTGGAAGAGTTTTTTAATTATTATGATCAGATTCTATGTAAAATTGGTATCGGGGGGTTTTCGGAGTCGAAAATAATGATCCTTTTATCAAAATTTGGAAATCCAAGATGGCAGATTCAATATGGCTGACGAGTTTTGTAACTTAATCCGATTCCATTCCAAATTTGTATATGGGGGATTTTGGGATGGGAGATTATGATTGTTCATCAAAATAAGGAAATTGAAGATGGAGGATGGCAACTGAGTTTTGTAGTTATGATCCGATTCTATTCAAAATTTGTATCTGGGTGTTTTCGGGGTCGGAGAAGAATTAGAAAACAAATGAATATGGGTATGTTGATAAATATTTAACTAAAAAAATATTTTCTGGAAATAATTGTATAGGTATAGCAGAACAACGTTTGCCGGGTATCAGCTATTGTAATAAATATTAGTTTGAAAAACTAATGAAACACCTTTTTATAGATAGCTATACTAAAAAGAAGTGAGTAGAAAATAAAGAGTAGTTTGAAAAAATGAAGAGGTATAGAGAACCGAACTAAAAAGAACTAGAAAATAAATAGAGTAGTTTGAAACGGCCTAGAATTTGTCACTGAATTATAATTATATAAGTAGACCTGAAAATTTAAACATACAAATTCAGCAGAATTTCTTCAATTCTATTCATGAGATCGATAATTATGTCAGCATATAGATGGAAATAATAGGAATGGCACAGTTGTGGAACAAACTTCAAAAAGCTTTGTTGATCTGTGTCAAAAGTTCAGGTTATTTCACTCTAAAACTCATGCAAAAACATTCGTCTCAGAACTCTCAGAGTACAGTTCTCAGATTTTGGATCCATTGATATGGCGATATTCACAAAGGATAATACCGCCACGGCAACAAAACAAAACTGAGCGAGAAATCGTTATATGTCTCTCTCCCTCCCGCGGCGAACCGGGGGGATATTCATTGGTCGCGCGGTGATTCCCCGTCTTTCCGCAGTCCGCCACGTGCCCTTTGAATTGCGTGAACTTCAGATGAACTTCAAACTAACCGGCATATAATCAATAATTGAAAAGCCAGTGTTGCAAGCTGCTGCAAATGATATGTCGCAAAAATTCATAAGAATGGGCAGAAAAGCGAGGCAACAGGAAAGTCAGCCACATACGAAATATTTGAAAATATAGCAGCCGCTTTTTTTTCGAGACATTTGGAGACGTTATCGAACATCCAGTTCATGTTTTAGAGAATTATCGTAGGTAGATACTTCATATTCCACTTACATCTTCTTTGGGGAAGATTTTTGAAATTCAATGAATTCCGTGATATTAAAATTTTCTTTGAAATATATACAGGGTTATTCATTCAAAACGGTCAATGTGTGAGCTAGAAATAGTAAACATCAGAATATCAAGATTCAGCCTCACATCTCACATCTCACATAGAAAATGTTGTTAGTTTTGGAGAAACAGGGTGTACAAGGAAAATATTTTATTTTGAAATTCCTCATACAATAACTTTGTAAGTTCTAAATCAGCATGAAAATGGTCAATGTGTGAGCTAGAAATAGTAAACATCAGAATATCAAGATGCAGCCTCACATCTCTCATAGAAAATGTTGTTAGTTTTGGAGAAACAGGTTGTTCAAGAAAAATATTTCATTTTAAAATTCCTCATACAATAACTTTGTGAGTTTTATATCAGCATGAACATAATTTTCTTATATTTTTTTCATTATAATTCGATTTTTAAATGATTTAAAAAAAGTTGACCATTAAAACAAAATGGATTGTGAGATATAGAAAGCATATGATGGCAAATCAATTTCTCACCGTTATGTTGAAGACCGAAACCAGGGAATCCTGGAAACTTTGGTACGATATAATCACACTCACACTATACACTGTTTTATCACTATCAAACAGAATTTTTATCAACTCGACAAACTTTATTACCTAAAAACATTTGCTGTCTAAGATAGACTAACAAAAACTTTTGAGATGGTGTTCGCTTGAATCTCCTAATTCTGACAAATGATTCAAAATCTCCGACCCCTGAAACACCAGTAAAAATTTTGAATAGAATCGGATAATAAAATTAGAAAACTTGTCCGCTTTAATGGATCTGCAATCCTGAATTTCCCAATTTTGACGATAGAATCATAATCTCCGACCCCAAACACCCTTATATATAAATTTTGAATAGGATAGAATCATCATCACATAACTCGTCCGCCATATTGAATCCGTCATCTTGAATTTTTTCATTTCGGGATTCATAATCTCCGACCCCAAAAACCCCAGATACAAATTTCAAATGGCATAGAATCATAATTACGAAACTCGTGCGCCATATTGGTGGAGTCATGATGAAAGAATCATAATCTCAGACGCCGAGAACCCCCAGACACCAATTTTGAATAGAATGGGATCATAATTATTATAAATAAAACTCGTCAGCCATCTTCAATATCCTAATTTTCACGAAAGAATCATAATCTCCGACCCCGAAAACCTCCATATACCAATTTAGAATAGAATCTAATCATAATTACAAAATACTACATAATATAAGATGAGATGCGATACTGCACCCTTCAAATTTATTGCTATTCATTGACCTCGCGATAACGGGACACGGAACGGGTCGTGACGATGACGCGAAATCCAATGTTTTTCTCCACCCAAAAAAGTGCTCAACGCGCCTAGAAGTTCTCACTTCGAAAATATTGTTTTTTTCATAAGTGCAATTGTGATCGAAATTTGTATTTCAGCAAGCAGGTCTGAATTAGAGAACATGAAATTTGAATCAAGGATTTCTTTCATTCTACACACTGTATATATCAATATAACCCTTATATCAGTAATAGCAACTAGGCAATCGTCTACGTATATACCCTATACAGAAAACACGAAATTTCTATTTATAGCCATCTGAACTTGATAAAAAATCTTGCACACATTATTTCTGAATTACACAGACTATTTTGAGTATTTTGCCCTGAACAATGATTTCGATCCCCATCCTTGGAAGTTTTTCTGGCGACGCCAATAATGATAAGTTATATTAGTAGGAAATGAAATTAAAAAGGAAAAGAAATATTCGAAAGACTATTTGTGAAGACAGTTTCAAAAATGACTCATGACATAAATTTTCATTGTAGCGAGATATAGGTATTTGCTTGACTTGAATGGAATGAAAAGTGGAATCATGTTGAGCAGGCCCGTGGAGCAGTAGCTCTGGCAACACTGCACGTACATAATACAATTACCTACGATTGCATTCAATTGTGTGCCACCTATTGGTGACCTGCTGTAACAGACGAAATCGAAGAACTCTACAATAGCTGTGAAAGCTGTAATTTAATTATTTTATTCCGATTTCGACATCACACTGACACCTAGAAATAGTTGTTGAACTAGTATATATATATAGGCTATATTCGGTCGGAAAGCTGTCGCGAAAGGCCCGCCTTAAGTAGGTAGGTATATATTCATTACTAATTATTATTATCATTGATAAATTTGAAGTATATTATTTTATAATGTAAAATGATGTAAAATGTAATAAAAGAAAAAAATTACCTGTTAGGCAGATAGAGACCACGCATGCGCACTCGTGAGTCGAATGTCCTATTTCGTATTATTCAGAAAACAAAAACACAAACAGCTGGTTGCTCTCCTCTCACTCTATTGCTTGACATTTTCTGCATAAATCCAAATAATTCTGACAACTGATATGTTTTGCTTTTATTTTATGTGATTATCCTGAACCTGAATCCTGAATCCTGTTGAAGCCAGTGATATGTGCAGTTATGATCTCAAAGAATATGAAGATATCTTTTGAGACGGTAAACGTTTTTGTGATTAGGCTAATCATAGTAATATGCCTCCATTTGTGAAGAGTAGTGGTGGGTACATTGCTACATTCTCCTTAACTGTTTATGGAATACCAATCTAGAATATTTCTGATTGTTTTGTAGTTTAAGCAAACATGGGTGGGGTGGTAAGTTCAGGACAAAACAATGACGATCTGATAGACAATTTGTTAGAGGCTGATTACATAAAAACGTCAATGATAGAAAGAGTCTTTAGAGCTGTAGATAGGGCTGAATATTTCCTGGCTGAAGCCAGAGGCAATGCTTACAAGGACCTGGCTTGGAAATGCGGGAATCTGCACTTGTCAGCACCATGCATCTACAGTGAGGTCATGGAGGGATTATCCATAGAGCCTGGAATGTCCTTCATGAACCTTGGCTCTGGTACCGGGTACCTCAGCACCATGGTCGGGCTGATCCTCGGCAGCTGTGGCGTCAACCATGGGATAGAATACCATCTCGATGTAGTTCAGTATGCCAATAAGAAACTAGAGGAGTTCAAGAAGCACTCAGGAGCTATTGATGAGTTTGATTATTGTGAGCCCAAATTCATACAAGGTAATTGTCTGTGTCTTACCAGTGAATGTAATGCTCGGTACGACAGAGTCTATTGTGGAGCTGCTTGTCCTCCCCAGTATGAGAACTACATGAAGAATTTGTTGAAAGTTGGGGGTATACTTGTGATGCCTTTGAATGATCATCTGGTGCAGATTCTCAGAACTTCTAAGACAAATTGGAATACAAAATCACTGTTGCCAGTGTCCTTTGCCACATTGATTCAGCCTCCAGAAGAAATACAAGAATGGGTCCAAATGAGTAATGATACCATGTACTTTTGCCTACTTTTCTTGTTAATCTTTAATTTGTTTAGTTGAAGTGGAGCCTTCTTCTCTGCAAGAGCTTTGTAGATCTGTTGTGAGGAATATTTTACGTAAAAATGTGGAGAAAGAGCATCCTCCTATCAAGAAATCTCCTCCTGTGAATAAGGCTCCAAAGAAGAAGAGGGCACTTAGGAGACTGGTGGTTCCCTTATTTGAATCTGAAGATAGTTCAGATGATGATAGACATGTTAGAATTGGTGGGGTGAGTGAACAAATTTTCTTTCTTTGAATATTTTAATTTCAGTTCATTATTTGCATGAAATGCAACTATAGGTTCTATTTTGATAATAATTATTATGTGTTTCATATCAGTGATTTGCATGAGCAAACAATATTTGTTTACCAATGAAAGATAACATTTTATTCTTAATCCATTTGAATTCATTGGCTTTATATTTATTCAATTTCTCTGAGATGCATATAAAAACTGAAAAAAACACATAAAAAAATCTGAACTAATTGGTTTTTACCAACTTGTAGCTTTATTCTTCAGATTTCAAGAGAACATTATTTTTATGATTTCATTTTTTATTCCTTTCAAATTTATGTTCTCAATTTTTTCTTATTCTACAACAAATTCAGACCTACATTGTATAGCATGTCCTACAACATCATGATAAAGTAAACATGATTTCTGATTCCCTTCACCTTCAGTAGTTCACTTTGTCTTTGTATGTAGGTACCTCTAGTTCAAGTTGACAATATTGGTATGTACACAGTACACACTTGTCAAATGCAAAAGTACACCACCTAACTATTTAATCTTTTCATGTATAAATAGTAATTAATGCACATTGGTTATTTTAAATCATCACAAATCATTTTATTCAATAATAAAAATAGATTTCTTTCAAAAACACTTTGGCTATTGATGATGAGAGAATTCACTTCCATCATAGATCTGAATACACACAAATGTGTATTAGATCTATGCTTCCACTGTACAGCAGTACTGAGATACACACAATACATACAATACATACATACATACATACATAAATAGTGTCAAAAAGACCATCATAAGGAAAGGGAGGCATAGTTATGTCAATCAATCAATCCTTTATTGGTGTTATTTTACAATAAATGTATTTACTTTACACATATAAAATATCATACATAGAGGAAGAGTGACTTCTCCATTGAATAATAATTTCATCTAAACACATTTAACAGTCACACCAATTATACTAGTTACAGTGCCAGACAAACAAGTGAATTATAAGGACACAAAATGTCATTGTCAAGAATTGAATTTCATTAAATTGCTATCAGGAACATTCTTGCCTTGTCTGATGTTATGTCCTCAACTTCTGATGTATGTGTGTATACAGTGTCATTCATAAAGTCGGCATCATATGGGAAAAACTTTTATTAATGACTTATTTTGAAATTCGAGTTGGACGTTAAGTTTTGCTTAAAAAAAGATGAAAAATGGCCTACTCAATCAGGGTCACGTGACTTTCGCTACATGTCAAAAGTGACATTTTTTCAAATTAATCGCTGAAAGTAGGCTTATTTGTTCGAATATCGAAAAAGTTTACTTGAAAAAGTTGTTTCTATTTAAATTTTACAAATGTGACTCGGATTTTATCTTTCTATTACATTTTTTAGATTTAGATATTTTTTAAAAAATTTCAAAATTTCTTTTAAATTAAAAAAATTGTAAATTCGATAAAACTACTCCATACCAGTAGCTTCATCATGCTACTAACTTTCAATTACTAATTATCACTAATTTGTCGACAAAAATATGATTTTCTACAGAAAATGATAATCTCCGCTTCAAAATTCTGTTATGTTTGATGCAAACATAACATCAAAATTCTGTTATGTTTGAGTCAAGCATTTAGAAACTAAATTCATTTAAATTTATTTTTTCAGTACTGAAAAGATCAGTTTAAATGAATTTCGTTTCTAAATGCTAGACGATATATCAACTTTGCATCAAACATAACAGAATTTGGAAGCGGGTATTATCATTTTCTGAAGAAAATCATATTTCTGTCCATAATCAGTGATAATAAGTAATTGAAAGGAAGTAGCATGAAGAAGCTACTGGTATGAAGTAGTTACGTGGAATTAACAATTCTTCAAATATTACAGAAATTTCGAAAAATTTAAAAAAAAATCAAAATCTAAAAGTTGCAATAGAAAGATCAAATTCGAGAAGCATGTGTAAAATTGGAATAGAAACAACTTTTTCAAGTAAACTTTTTCGATATTCGAACAAATAAGCCTACTTTCAGCGATTAATTTGAAAAAATGTCATTTTGACATGTAGCGAAAGTCACGTGACCCCGATTGAGTAGGTCATTTTTCATCTTTTTTGAAGCAAAACTCAACGTCCAACTCGAATTCCAAAATAAGTCATTAATAAAAGTTTTTCCCATATGATGCCGACTTTATGAATGACACTGTATATATGTATACGATTTATTCATCTTATCTATTATTATTTGTTTGTTATTCATTGTTATGTGTATGTAAGTATGTAATTTTTTGACGATTCCAATCTATTGTATAACAGCTTATGGAGTAATAAAAATGAATGATGATTTCCAGGGTTGCCAACATGAAATTTTCATTATTTTATGTTGGAACACTGAAGCACAGTAATTATCCTTTCAAGAGAAAGGATAAAATCAAAGAATAGTAGGTTAGGTTAGATACAATACTGTGTGTGACTGAAGACAAGGACAGATAGGGAAGCACTTTATTTCTATTTCAATGCCAGCTATTATTTGTGTCACAGCCTTTACCCTACCTACCTAGTGGGGTTTTTGAAAGCTGTCAAAGCAGCCTGTTTACTCTTTGAGTCTTTGCTCATTGGTCACATCCATCATAAGGAATAAGATGACAAACAGGTCCATCATTCCATTCCATAGTGCTCCTCCATATAATGAATAGGATGCTCAAAGGTCATTCCACATACAAAGTTGAATAATAATGCAAACAAAAATTTGTATTGTATTTTGTAGGTTAGGAACAGAGATGCTGGTAGAGCCACATTCAGAGAAGAAAGTGATGGACTCTTGAATTTCGTTCTCGGCACATTCAGAGAAGGTAGAAATCTTTTTGCAGGTATTTGCCATCGACAAATAAAACGGGAATTTCCCCATCACTTTGTTTATTTTTTAGGACATGATAATCACAACAGAGAAAGGACTTTAGTAGAGGGAGACCAGTCCAGTGAGGATAACAGAATGGAGACTGATACAAACGAATCAACAGAAGACAGTGAAAAGAAATCTCAGGTGGAAACCAAAATTGAAACTCAAGCTGTTATCGAACATGTACCAACAACAAGTCAAAATGCTCAAAATAATGCAGAAAATGTACAGGTAAGTTCAATATTATCATTCAGATCAAAGTTATTGAATGAGGGCCAACATTATTTATAGTCCACTAAACAACGCTACTGAAACGTGAGGTCAAAGTTGGTAGAACTGATGAATGCACTGTCATTTGGACCTTTCCTACAATATCCCCTTCCCCTGTCAATGTAAGAATTGGTCATAAAGCTCTACATTGAGAGTAAAAAAAAAACGTAAGTTTGCTCAAGTCAGTAACTTGAGGTTTTCTATTTGTTCAAATACTCTACATCATTTTTTCGAATATTTTTGATAAAAAAGGCCATAGTCTTCAGGACTATCCTGCAATATTTTCGAATTATTGACCTTACGATTCAGTGGCGCCAACTGATGAGTGTGAAAATGATAGCCCTCATTGAAACTTGTATTTATGTAAAAAAACTGAAACCAATATAATCAATTTGGAACATGAACAATCTCCTGTTTTTTTGTTGTCATTTCAATCTTTACCAAATTAGTACAAAAAGTTGTATTTCCTGCAAAATAAATTTTATTCAATTCTCATAGCAGAGCAACTAACAGTCATCATCAGTGCCATGGACGTATGATCAGTGCATACCTGTTAGTGAGTAATCAGCTTTTAGCTATTGATGAGGACCTCAGGGAAACTAAAAAAAGTTTCAGAAATTTATTTTTTCAAGAAAAAAAAATTAAAATTTGGAAATTAGTGAAAGTTAATCAACTTATAGCATATGAATTTAGAAGGATGTGAAGAAAATCATCCATAAAAATTTCTTTGGTCCAGTTGAGTAATATTAACATTATGGCTAATTACGGTACAAACAGATTAATTTTTTTTTCCCAAAATGGTATGCAGATTACATTTTCTTAAAAAACCATTATGGCAGCCAGAGAAAGTACTGGTCTGTCACTTGACAATCCGGGAAAAAAATAAGAACTTTTTTCCCGTGGGAAAAAAGTAATTTATGAAAAATTACATTTTATAACCTGTCAACAGATATGAAATGTCAAACTTTCTCATCATAAAAAAAAAATTTGTTTTCATCAAACTTTCGAGGTCAATAACTCCTCAACAAACTGCGATAGATACTTTTTTATATGGAGTACTGACATTTACGACCTGTAATTTCCGGACACCCTGTGTATGAAACTGATTCCATTTGAAAAAAAAATGTGTTGTTGAAATCACTTTTTTTTTTAAATTACCATAATCATTATTATTGATTTTGAAGGAAAGGGTTGTTGAATCTCCAATCCAACCACAACCCTCTGTCGCCCAACCCGATAGGGAAGAAATCTCTGAAGCCCTAGAGCTCCACGACGTCTTCTTCGGCGTGTTGAACTGCCTGAGAAGAGAGAGAGGAGAGGGGGAAGATCCTCTGGAAGAGGAAGAAGAGGACGACCACGTGGAGATGGGTGGAGAGGGACCCAGCACAGGGGAGAGTAGGGAGGGTAGAAATAAGAAGAAGAGGGAGAAGTTCGATAGTGGATTGGGGGATGAAATCGTGGAGAATCACAGTGAGACTTCTGAAGGTGAGTCTTTGGTCAGCTTATTTGATTGAAAAGTTATATTCTATGGCCATTATTGGAAATGTTTATTTGTTTATGAAGATACCGACCTTTTTTTGTTGGAGCACAATTGTTTTCAGGATTTTGATGTAGTTTGTTTTGTTTTTGCTCATTTAAAAAAAAATAGTTATTTGTTTTACTCGGCAGCAATGTAGGAGCATAGCGAGGCTAGGAATTCAGCCAAGGCAGCCAATCTACATTAACTGCTGTGTGAAACATATATAATTTTTTCTCCAAATATAAAACCAATTTTGTGTAATTTTTTTATTGAAAACTCCATCATTTTTTGTTCACCCAATGTCAATCAAATATCTTGAAAATTCTCTTCCTTTCAGAAGTCATTTTGACGAGTTTTCCTGGATATCAATCCAGTTTTTGAGAAATAGTCATTTGTTTACTAGGCAGCAAAGTAGTAGATTGACTGCCGCGGCAGTTATATCAAGGTGGATTCTCATTCCTATTAATGTGATTTGAAAAGTGAAAAATTCGTACCAACCAGAAATTATTCCTGCCCTCCAGGGGTAGACTAGAAGTAACCTTAAATTATTGTTCCTGTGGAAAGTCCCATTAAAAATGTATGCTCATCCAGACGTCATTAGGAAAGATTTTTTTTATATTAGATCAATATTAAGCTCCCAGAATACCTCTAATGTGATTAGAAGAATGCTAGCAGTATGTCCTGGAAAGTTATGTCCTAAACGCCATTGGACGAGATCTTCTGATATCAGACTGATTTTGCCCTTAATGCCCCCAGAGATAGTGTCAATACCATTCAGAAAGAATACCAGTAGAAAGATTTAGCCACCAGAAATTGATCACTTGGAAATTCATGCCATACCCTAATCCCTACGTCATCAGGGTAGATTTTCCCGATATTAGACCAGTTTCGGTACCTCCAGAAATCAGAATGCCTCTGGATGTCATCAAAAAATGAGTAGAAGACACTTTTAGCGATCGAGAGGGTTTAATCTCGCATCGTTCGAAATCAATTCATATGCGATAACTAAAGATCAACTTATATGGTGTATGTTGGAGTGAAATAGAAGATTGAATTCATATACCATATTGCCTCTAATGGCACCTATTCCAAGAGCACAAGGTACTTTTATCGAGATATTCTATCAGTATCAAGCCCCCACTCCCCCAGAATGCCTTCAAGGAGCAGTAACAGAAAAATTTTGCGACTTGTCTCTGCCCTTCCAGAAGTCATTAGACAATATTTTATCAGTAATGGGATTCCAGAATGCAATCAAAGAGCAGTAATAGAAAAATTCAGCTACTCGAATCTGATCTCCCGAAAATTCTTGCCTTCCAGACTTCCTTAGATACTATTTTATTATTATCAAGTATTTCAAAGAGTAGTAACAGAAGAATCAAGTGACCTGAATATGGTTCCGCGGAAATTCTTGCCCTTTCAAATTTCATTAGATAATATTGTATCAGCATCAGGCCCTCAGAATGCCTTCAAAGAGCAGAAACAGAAGGATTCAGCTACCTGTATCTGATCCCACGTTAATTCTTGCTCTCCCAACCTTTATTAGACAATATTTTAACAGTATTGGGCCCTAAGACTTCCTTCAACAGTAGTAACAGAATCATTTAGGGACCTGAATCCGAGACTGAATCAGATCTCCCGATAATTCTTGCCAATCCAGACGTCACAATATTTTATCAGTATCAGGCCCCCAGAATGCCTTCCAAGAGCAGTAACTGAAAAATGCAGCTATCTGAATCTGATTCCTCGGAAATACTTGCCCTTCCAGACTTCCTTAGAAAGTATTTCATCAGTATATGGCACCCAGAATGCCTTCAAAGAGCAGTAACAGAAAAATTCAGCTACCTGATTCGGATTTCCCGGAGGTTCTAGCCCTTCCAGAAATCATTATACAATATTTCATCAGTATTTCGACCCCAGAATGCCTTCAGAAAGCAGAAACCGTGAAATTCAGTGACCTGAATCTAGTACCTTGGAAATTCTTGCCCTTCCAGATGTCTGTTAGAATATCTTCAAAGAGCGGTACAGAAAAATTTAGCGACTTGAATCTCTGATCCTTCATAAATTCTTCCTACCAGACGCCATTAGAGAATATTTTATCATCATTTGGCCTCAAGAATGCCTTCAAAGAGAAGTAACAGAAAAATTTAGGAACCTTAATCTGATCCATCTGAAATTCTAGTACTTTCAAACGTAATTAGTCAATATTTCATCAGTATTCGATCCACAGAATACTTTAACACAGGAGTAATAGACAAATTTTGCGACCTAAATCTGATCCCTCTGATATTCTGATCTTTCCATGATCAGTATTGAGCTCTCAGAATGCCGTCCAAGAGCAGTAACAGAATGATTAAGGGACCTGAATCTGATCCCGCACAAAGTCTAGTCCTTCCAAACGTCATTAGACAAGATTGAATCATTATTTGGCCTCAAGAATGCCTTCAAAGAGCAGTAACTGAAAAAATGTAGGATCCGGAATCTGATCCATCGGAGATTCTACTCCTTTCAGACAATATTTGATCAGTATTTGGCCCACGGAACACTTAACAGAGCAGTAACAGCATAAATTAGCGACCTGAATCTGATCCCTCGGATATTCTGGTCCTTCCAGACGTAATCTCCAGCTCGGACGAAGACCGGCACCAGGAGAAGCGCCCAAAGCGCGCACAGCAGTCCGACCGCGACCCGCCGCGCAGCGTCCTCAAGTGGCGGCGCACCGAAGCTCTGACTGCGCAGCGCTTCGCCGACAGCGACAGCGAGCGGGAAGCGGAGGGGGAAGGGCAGCGATCAGAGGAGGGGGAGATGCGCATGTACCGCAGCCCCTACTCGGAGCATCTGAAGGCCAAGATACAGCGGCTGCCGCTGCCTCCCATTCTGAAGAGATATTTGAATTTCTACAGGGAATTTTAAGGTTATTTCAAGAGGTTCGTGATGAGATCCGTCCGGGAGTTATTCATATATATCCTTATTCTCATAATTCTTAACATTTTCGTTATTGAAAAAATTTTTTTGGGATATTTTCTTACGAATTTCTCGAATCTGAGAACACTTTTCTCTGTATCAACAAAATACAGCACGTCTCGAAAAAATTGTTTTGTTGAATGAATATGAAATGACCTATAATTATTTTTCATAATTCCATGACGCTCGTCAATCAGATTTCAAGAATATATTGACGGCCTTCATCGAATTATGGAAAAAAATATAAATGATTTCATTAAAAAAAAAGTTGTTGATATAAAGAAAAAGTGAGCAGAGATTCAATAACTTCCTGAAAAATTATTCCAAAGTTTTTGAATGACCAAAATATGTTGAGAATTACGAGGAAAAAAGGGGTTGACACATTCAAGTAGGACACATTGTATCTGTATTAGATGGTTCAATTCCTGTACTCAATGTACTCTCTCTGCCCTTGGTTTTCATAGTCCAAAATGTTTTGTTTAAACTCATTTTATGATGTGGTTCTAAATTGTAAATATCTGGATTTCTCTGAAAGTGTATTTGAAATAGTTACTGTTTTTTTTTAGAAGTATATGGACTGCATTTTACATATACATATACTCAAAAAATGTATTTGTCAAGTGAAACCTGATATTTCAACTATTGAAACCTTTTCATAATGAAATGATTTTTTTATGATCTCTAAAATATCAATTTTGAACAGTCAAGAAGGAATTGTCGTTCATTGCAGTTATATAACTTTGGCATCAGAACATTTTCTAGTGTGCAATAATGTCCACAAAAAAATCACAATCCATGATTTCCACAAAATTCTCATCACATGACATGTTTTGCTAACACAGCAGCTTCCTCAGGTCAAATACTGGTACAATAAATCAAACTTGCATTGACTTGGCTAACTTTTATATCTCACTTTCCCAACCTAGGACTAAAATTATCTGTGGAGTGGAAAGGTGCCATAAACCTTCTTTTTCAGAAAGTAGGCACAATATCTACATTAAAATACGATGTACGGGGATTAACTTGAAAGGGTTGATAGTAAATATATGTTATTACCCCCTAACAAAACGAATTCAACAGGGGTGACTTATCAAGGGCTTGTTGATCATTAAGTAAAATGCTAGAATTCTTGCTTTTGTTGATTTCTAATGATTCCAATTGATTGATTTCCATTTGGCCATTCTCTATGTGTAAAATTTCGAAATTATCATCAAAACCTTGATTTTCTTCTAATATTAGCGTTCAACGTTTCAAAATTTAAATGTAGATATTGTGCCTACTTTCCAAAAATGAAGGTTTATCGCACTTTTCCACTCCACAGATCATTTTATTCCTTTAGGTTGTGAAAGTAGGATATAAAAGTTAGCCAAGTCAATGCTAGTTCAATTTATTGTACTAGTATTTCACCTGAAGAAGCTACTGTGTTAGCGAAACATGTCCTGTGATTGAGAATTTTGTGAAATTTTATCATTTGTGATGTTTTTCACTTGCTTCTTTGTTCTCCTTATAGACCTTATTGTCTAGTTTACATTTGCTTTTGGACAATGTTTCTAACTATCATTGTACTTTAGCAATCAGACTAAGGCGCCTTTGTATCCTACCCTGTTCATGCATTAAAATGTTTTTCATATTTACTAGAAAGTATAAGTTTCCTGGAATATTGAACCTACTGTTTCTACATTACCATCTATCTAACTTGGACTGATCTCACCAAGAATTTAATTTTGATAACTTATAGATAAGTATATCATAGAGCAGGGTTACTAGAATTTCTCAAAAACTAACATTTTATCTTACAGATGTACTGAAAATTTATGAGGAACGATTTTTGGTGCATTCTGTAATTGTACAATACTTATAGGATTGAAGTGAGATGCTAATGGAAATTTTATACTGAACTGGAATGTGCAAAAAACTGCTTAAACAAAACTGATTTCAAAGTGGTTGATGTAATATATAATGTGATATTTATGCTGATGGATATTTTATGTTGAGTGTTGATTTATTATGTTATAACATTAGACTTTATTTTCATATATTATGGAGATGATTTATATTTTTTGTAGAAAGTAGTTTGATTTGTTTGGGATGAATACATTTTATGATAATCAAAAGTGTTTTTATTCCTTAACCCATTGTACACTTATAGTTTTTTGTTACCCCCCATATCCTCTTGAATATATTAAAACAAAAAAAAAAGTAATTTGTAGAAACTTCCAGCTTCCCATTACAAGTAGTTTCTATACAGCATGAATGTGAGGTTTTTTATTTAACAAGGTATATATCACCAAAACAAGTTGTTTGGCATCTTAGCCTGATCTGATTAATGTCTGCTGGGCCAGAGTTGACTAGATTCATTTCCTTCCAAAAATTTTTTGGTTTACTTTAAAAAGAAAAACAATAGATTGAAAATGTAAAAAGAGGGTTTTGATTAATTTTTCTGATGAAATAATGCAACTGTAGGGTATGTAATGCTAGACTAATGATTTCTTTGTGTTTTCTTGAGAAAATATTCAGTTATAGTTGGATCTTCTTCAAAACTTCAAATACCTGAACCTCCATTAACTTAAATATTATATGAGCAATTTTTCACAAAAGTACATATGACCTGTATTATTCTTTAGGGAAAATATGTGTAGGTGTAGGTATAGCTGAGAGTGTGCCTCTGGTTTTGAAATGAAACATCAAAAAGTAAACTATATCACAGATACATAATGAATAATCTATAACTATCAACAACATTTTGTATTCCTAGTTCTCATATTTTTTCTTCCCATGGTCTGGGTCCTCGTACTTGCTCCCAATTATCAATGTTCAAATCTTTCACTTTCTCGAATTCAGTTTCTATAGTCACTTCTCCTGCCTTTTTCATGTCTATTCCATGTTTCTCCATTTCATCTGGCCTCACTGCTGATACTTTGGAAAATTGGTAGCGAAGTTTCGTGAATTCTTTCAGTCCGAAAGACCCACCTACAACGAGAATCACAAACGGGATTCCGAATTTTACGAATCTTCGTTTGACTAGCTTCTTCATTGTTCGAGAAATCTCTACCAAAAGTAAAACAAAGAATCAAATAGGAAAATCAACTTCAAAATGCAAGAATCAAGAAAAGAATATACAAAATAAAGCTAGGTTATATACACAAAACTTAAAACTTAACATCACATGACACATGACAGGAAGTAAAAAATTCATGAAACAGACCAGAACACGAAGTGCACAAAACACAAGGATTATAAACTCTACTCTCCTTGCAAAAAACATCTCACAAAAAACATACATGATTTCAACATTGGGACACAAAATATCCAACAATAAGACATGAAACTCTATGAGTTTTGAGTCGGATTATTTGAGTGTTAAAATGAAAAAAACGAAGATCTAACATAACATCAGTTGCCTACTTCGAAAGCGCAAATTCATTACTGCATGGGAGCGGGAGGTACCCTTCGTATTTTTAGCTATTCAATGACTTGGTCACGAATGACATTGACGTTTCAGCCTCCTGCGCCACAAGTGCGTAACCGAAATTCAGATGCCACGAGTTGGGCTGTTGCCAGATTCCAAATGGAAACAGGATCAAATTCGCGAGATTCACGAAGTGGGCGACATCTAGGTTACATCATACGAACTTCAAATTGGGGGAAAACAAACTGTTGTCTATGAATAAAGTGCATAGACTACATTGCATACATCTTGCTGTTGCTGTAGTTGTCAAACTTGTCACTGACATAAAGTGTTATCACTCTAGAGATCACTCTTATCAGTACACAGTACACAAGCTAATGGCACTAATGGGATTGAGTTTGTTTTCCCCCAGTTTTGACGTGGCTTTGACATGGAACGATGAAAACTGAGCGCCACCTGGTAGCATTGATTCCCGCGAATAACCTGTGTTACTCTTAGATCATATGATCTAAGGTGATACTAGCGTCAGTAGCGTCTTCTAGGGAGTATGCGTAGTAAATTAAATTGCATATTCTACTTGATATGCCGGTAAATTAGAATTTTTCAGCAAGTTCATAGATGTACTTCGAACGAGTGCTTCGCGCAAGTTCTATCTTGAAAAAAGAAAAAATCACCTACGGGAAACAAAAATTTTCCATCTCATGATGCTAGCTCTGAACATATCTATAAAAAATGTCTCACAGCTTTCTTCTATCAGGCTGTCAATAGGTACTTCCGAGTTTGGAAAAACCTCCGATGGCTCTATTCAATGTACTTATAATAATGGATCAATGTAGATAATAATTTAATGTAAATTTCGCTTCTACTACAAATATAGCGGAACTTTTATATTACCTACGCCTGTATATAATGTAGAATAATCATTATGTCATTGAGAATTCGCGGCCTTGCGTAACTCATTATTCTGTGATAAGAGAACCGCTCCATTTCGAGCATCATAATAAATTCAGGTCCCGCCATACAGAACAGAACACCTCTCACATGAGACCAGTAAAAGTTGTTTTGCAGACTGCGATCTTTCGTACGGCGAACACCAGATACGAAAAATATAATCCCACATGAATCTTAATGAAAATAAGTTTACCTATAGGTCCTGTATAAGGATTGCCCCTTTTTTGTTTTACCACTATACATATATGGCTAAATAGTGTCCTCGTATATTTGCCTTTCTCACAGAAATTTGTATGGAGGTAGTCCTCTCATCAGGGTTCGAATTATATATATACAGTTTTTCATTTATATTGCGAAAAAATTGAATATTTCTTGAGTCAAAATATGGATTGGAGTTTTGATATCAACAAAGATTAACGTGTATGTCTGAATTTGCTTCTTTTCCAAGAGTGTAGAGGTTATTTTTGGTATCAATATATAGGATCTCTTTGACCCAGCCAACACATCTGCAACATGACATCTCTGAGATGTCGCGATAAGGCAACACTGCAATTAACCGAATGTTACATCGCTGCGATGTAAAGAAGCAAACACATCTGAAAAACAATACGTGAATATACGTTACTCAACAATGTATAGTAACTGATCTTATTCTGATAAGTACCAAGGATAGCGCCGCTGAAAAAACGATTGAAATGACAGGTGACCCGAATCAACCAGTCATAACAACACATAATCAATATTGGAAGTCATCAGAAGTCAATGGTGTACCTATTATTACACCATATTTGTAAACAACTTTTTTTTTTCGTTTTACCGCGATGTCATCTCATCACATCACAGTTTTATTGCAAAAAACATCGCCTTTTCATCACAAATATCATATTGCAATTACATTGCAAAAAATATATCGCAGATAACTTATCGCACCGACGTCGCATGGATGATACTTGAGTGGGACAAAATAACATGTCTTTGCGATATAGAGAGCGATATCGCAGGTCACAATTGTTACATTGCTGCGATATCTCTGTGATGTAACTGTGTTTGCTGGGAAGATACAACATTCAAATCCGTTATATCATAGATTAGGAATCTATGGTTATATGTATAGATCCAATTTATATATAGTTGCATGGCGCTTGGCGCCACCTATACATGGCTACTTCTTAGAGGAAACATAATTCCTGTATATGTGCTTGTATTACATTTTTGTGTTGAAAAATGGATTTCCGTATCACGTGCGTGGCATACTTGGTAATTCATGTAGTGATTCAAAATGACATAATAAAAGAGATATACAGGGTGTTTCTTAATTGAATGCTGATCCTAAAGGGCGATAATCCTTGGATGATTTTAAGAAAAATTCTTCATATTAACATAGGTCCGTAACAGCTTCGTTTCTGAGATACAGGATGTTGAAATTTAACAAAAAAATCAGTTATTCTCCAATATCTCTGAAACCGCTCTGGCTTTCTTCTTCATTACAAATACAACAACTAACAACCTGTATCTCAGAAACGAAGCTGTTACGGACCTATGTTCACATAAAGAATCTTTCTTAAAATCATCCAAGGATTATCGCCCTTTAGGATCAGCATTCAATTATGAAACACCCTGTATATTGTACCTAGCCTAAAAATGTTTTATTGGAAATAATAAATTATTTCATGAACGTTATAGGAGAAACAAAGGTCCAAATACAACTTTTCAACACCCTGTATCTTTGGAAACGAAGTCATTCCAGACATTATATATGTTTTCTCATTACCAAGAAATATCCCCTTTTTTGGCAAAATTAATGAAATAACCCTCTGCATATTTATCTTTATGTCACCCTGTATAACACAAGTAGCAAAATCCGCCTACAGTATTGGGACTATCAATTGGATATTGAAACAGTAGTGTTAAAATAAATGAAAAGTTCTGTAGAGTCTAGCACCATTCGAGAAGCATAATATTCCCAAGACAAGTATTTTTGTGATGTAAGATTTGAATTTGAGCGGACAAAATTTCGCTATTTTAGTCCTTTATTTTTTGGAACTTGTTGTTTTGCAGTGACAGTTCGACTCTCAGTTTCCATTCTGATAATATGTGCAATTATTAAATGTATACGCAACATAGATTTTCTGTTCTAAATTTGATAATAATAATGCATTATTGGCCATTCAATTAATTTAATGAATAGGTGATATATTGAAAAAAATACTGAATCTAGAGCAATTTCAGGCGGCAGAATAGTATATTATTATACAAGTTTTATAAGACACTATTTTGTCGCACGCGTTGCGACAATATACTATTTTTTTTATTTTGCATTCATTTTTACTATTTTATTTAAAAATTGTCATCAATAAAAACAATGGTAACCATCATGATCATAGATCTGAATCTATGCCATGATAAAGCATTTGAATGCTTATTTCCAAATTTGACAGATGGTAGAAATATTATTCAAATTCACATCATTATTCCAGTGATATGATTCAAAATTGTTGGTCTATTGAAAATCTGAATTTTTCATTTTGAGAAAGACTGAAGAGGCAAACTTCAAGTTGCCCCCCTGAACTGAGGGAATTTGCATGCCCAAACAGCTATACAGAACATTGTTTTCGGCGTTCTAGTGTGCCATTTAGCAAATAGAATCGGTGATTTGGTCACTATAAAGGTCCATAGAGGATGGAAATCCTCAGCAGTTGCTAAAGGTTACATGTTTTCTTCTCAGCCTTCAACTTCTCCAGCAAATTCTGATGCCTCTAATGTTATAGTTAAAGTTTATAACAATAATTGCACCATTCGCAAAGCAACAAAATTTGATTACATAATTATTATAGATCATTTCGTTCATAAAATATAATAATTATTCAAAACATTCATCAAAACATCGGCGAGAACATGGTTCTGCAGCATACAGACAGTTTGACGTTACCAATAACATTATCAACTTTGAAAAAAGAAATGCAGCGTGTCCTGATAGAAGCTGTTTCGATAAGCATTTGGGTGTTATAATGAGTTCATTAAAGACGCAAAATAATAGTAAATTGTATTATTATACAAGTTTAATGAGACACTATTTTGTCGCACGCGTTGTTTGGAGAGCTCCAAAAAAAACTAGTGCGACAATATGTCTCATAAAACACCGTGTATAACACACTATTTTTTCTATTTTGCATTCATTTGTACTCTTTTATTTGAGAGAATTCATCAACGAAAACGTCAAACATTAGAAAATTGTTCATTCCCAAGTTTGACTGATCGTATAATAATAATAATAATAATATTTATTCACCATTTTTTATACACTTGGTACTTATGGAATGTCGAAAAACATAATAAATGCATAAATAAATTATATAAAATGACCCAAAGTATGTACAGGAGGAATATAAAGAGATAAAATTCAGACCAGCACAATTAAAATACATCATTGACAATATTATCATTCAAGACTTCTTGGTAACTATAATATGCTTTCTGTAGTAGGAAAAAATTGAACTTTTCCATGAAATATTTTATCACTCTTGATATTTCTGACTCCGTGAGGTAACTTATTATAAGAGGTAATGGCATTATGATGAGGGGAATTTTTATAGAGTGCCATTTTGTGATG